AAAAATTCACAACAAACTTTCTATTACATAGTTGAGACACACCTGTACTACAATGACTCATGCAAAAAACAAAACAAAACAAACAAAAACTTTATATCAAAGAACGACTCTGAATCAAGATTCCCTCAATTACTATAATCATCATTAGTAATCATTATTGGGTTGACAAACTTTTACCCAATAAAAATCAGAGAACGCTGTTCCAGAAATCAGACAAAACAGAATACAATATGATATAGCCTTACATAGTTTTAAAAGAAACCTACAGTATGAAAAATGTTATCTGATGATTTATATAATAATGTAAGTCCTAGGTGAAAAATACTGAAAAGACTATATTTGTTTAATCCCAATATGCTAAGAAAATTTCATTGGTATAAATATCTGGAGGTATTTTAGTTATATTTAAACTTTGGTGGCAAAATGTGTTTTGTTAATTATATGAATAAGTCATATTTTAAAATGTAGAATTTTGAGCTAAAAAATTCAAATGTGTCTTTTTTTCCTTAAAAAGGGATGTAAAAAGTTCAATATGAAACAAAACAAGTGTAACATGACATACAAAATATGCCTATCATCTAGATTTTTGAGTGGTTATTAGATCTATTTATTATTTTTTGATAAATATTTTACAAGTACCATTACTATCATATAAATACTAAAAACAATACTATTAAAAATGAATTTATAAAAATTGCTACTTTTAGACTTCTTTAATTAATATTAGGAATCAAATGTGCACAAATTTATATAAAATAATTAAATACAATAATAGATCTAGGTTTTCCATAGTGTTCAAAGTTACAATGTACAGAATAAGTACAGAATAATTCATATATATCAAAAAAGGATCTTGTTTTCTATGATTTGTAAGTCCTGCAGTTATCAGAAAGTAACTGATTATCTAGAACTTCAAATCATAGTCATTTTGGCAGCTTAAGTACCAAATGCTTTGAGAAAAGACTCAAAATTGACTTAAAACTATCTGACCATAGACAATATAATCAATAATATAGCTTAGATAATCATATAACTTTTGGAAAATACATGCTATCAGTCCAGGTATATCATATGTTTATATACTATTAGTGGAATAATAGCATATTTATTTCATTCTTAAAACTGTTAACATAAAATTCAATCTTCTATCTTCATAATTTATCAAAAAAGTGTGAATTCCTGAGCACTTCGTGTACATTTATGTAGATTTTTGATTACTGAATTAACCTCTTTCCTATCATTGTTATAAGAAATTAAAATGCAAGAAACCTCATAGACTTTTAATTTCCTTAGGCTGTTAAAACATATTGAGAAGAATACATAAGTAATGTATATAGGTAAAAATTCAGCCTTGTGATAAAAAAGACTGGAATAAAATTGAATCTTTCAATCATTTTACCATTTTTGTAAATTTCTCTTGAATATCTATCTATGTGGCACGGAAGTTTTTTTTGTCAGTTTCTAATTTAATAAGACAAAGACACTTTATTATTTCTTCTATCTTGGGGAATGCCATGTTCTTCAAATTGATTTTCCCCACAAAGCTTCACAAATTATCCTATTTTCTATGACATGTACATTCACAAAACTAAAACACAGAAAAAAAAAAGTGATGGTAAAATATCAACAAATGCATAATTTCAGAAGGTCCCAATACATTTCAAATATTTTACCCAACTGATTTTATAGCAAACTAGGAAAACTGCGAAGGTAACACTGTCAAGTATTATAATAAATCTCATAATAAAGAAGACATTATATGAATTTAGACTTAATTCTTAAAAAATGGGGTGCTCAAAAGAAAAGAGAGAGAACAAGGGGGAATGCCCTGCCACAGAGGCAGGGTGGGACGGGGGGAAAGGTGGATGGGAGGGATGCTGGGACCCGTGGTGGTGGAGGATGGGCACTGGTGGAGGGATGGGTACTTGATCATTGCATAACTGAAACTCAAGCACAAAAATTTATAAGTCTATAACTGTACCTCATGGTATTTCACTAATAAAAAAATGAAAATAAAAAAATTAAATACTCCAAAAAAAATGGGGTGCTTAGGGCTTACTCCTGGCTCTGCACTCAGGGATTACTCCTAGCAAGTCTCAGGGAACCATTGGGGTGCTGGGATTGAACCTAATCAGATGCATGCAAGGCAAATGTACTTCCCCTTGTACTATCTTTTCAGCCCCATAACAATCTATCTTCTTAATATTTGTGTTTCCCTCATTTCCCCCAGGCTTTTCAAAAATTAAATAAAAATTAGTTTTGTATCTTCTATTCAACTTGGCCACTTCTGTGGGAGACACAAATTAATAAGAAGGTGAAATAAACTACACAGAAAGAAAAAGTCTATAAGACTTTTAAGAACAGTACAGAAAGAAGATGATAAGTAAATCAGATAATCTGCCTTGGGTAAGTATGTGAATATGATAGAAAAATGTACTTCATGAGTGCTAGGAAAATTAACAATAAACATTTGGGACTGGAGCGATAGCACAGCAGGTAGGGTGTTTGCCTTGCACACAGCCGACCCGGGTTCAATTCCCAGCATCCCACATGGTCCCCCGAGAACCACCAGGAGTAATTCCTGAATGAAGAGCCAGAAGTACCCCTGTGCATTGCCGGGTGTGACCCCCAAAAAAGCGAAAGAAAAAACCCACATTAAATAAACCTACCTTAGTTTCTTTTGTTATTTACTGTATAATCATGAAGTTATATGGTATTTCAATCAAGAAAAGCTATTCCATTATAGACATATGAATTTATCTAGTAAATTTTTAGTACTAATAATTACTAACTAAATTACTAAAATTCTAACAATTGAAAGAGTAATCAATAGATGGTTGATAATTTATAACTGATACTCCAAATCATTGTTATACAGGGAAATGTGTTTTAAGGTCATTTGTTTTGAATATTTTCATTCTGATAACAATCAAGAAAGAGAGGACCTTTAATTTCTGGCATGAAAAGAGATGAATAAAAATAATTTTATCATATTATCAGGTCAAAATCTTGACAGTAATTAAAAAAGGAGCCTTTTCTGAACTGGAAGCAGTGTTAGTCTCAGCAATACAGTTATCAGCCTTACAAAACAGAAAAAAGTGCAGAGAAGTAACTAAGTTTTTGTTACTGGTGGTACCAGGGAACAGACCCAGGGTCTCACACAAGCCAGATATGTGATCTATTGCTGAGTCAAATCCCTGGTCCCAGAAGTAATTTTTATAAGTAATAACTTACTCAAAAACGCAATAAATTTTAAATAAAAGTTTTAACAGTAGAGGTCACAAATTTGCTAAATTAGATAACTCCTAACTTCTACTAAGCAATTTCACTTTTAGTAACATTGCTAATGAACCTGTGCTGTTTTACCAGCTAACAAAGGCTGGTAAATATGATAGAAACTATGTGTAAATTAAAGATAACAGGGCGTTTTTCCCTCAAGAGAAAGAAATATCATTTTTGTTAATATTTACACAAAACTTCCACCTCATTTCTGGTAGTGATTTGGATTTAAAGTGCATCAGGACTTGATTAAGATCCTGTCAAAAGGTAGTTTTTTAATTAATTACATAAATATATATTATAAATAACATGTACTTTTTATATATGCATATATATAGATCTATATATGCATATATGTTGAATAAAGACCCAAGCTAATATTGCTTATAAGTTGTTTAATTAGTATCAATTAGTAGTCTTAAAATATTTTTTGGATTAATAAAACTTTAGGTCTTAAGTACATTAAGATCAAAATAATTTACTGAGTAGGATGCTCTTAAAAATAAACTGTTTAGGGATCAGAATCCTACAGCGGGCAAGGCATTTGCCTCGCACACGGCTGACCCAGGTTTGATCCCCAGCATCCTATATGGTCCCCCAAGAAGTGCCAGGAGTAATTCTTGATCAAAGAGCCATGGGTAAATCCTGAGCCTTCATTGTCAGGTGTGGCTCCTGCCCCCAAGGCTAAAGTACTATGCACAAATGAAAAATCTAGGCCTGTTACATTTCTTTTATAAGAAATGTGAAATAAGGAGGCTTTATGTCACATATTTATATATAATATGGTTGCCAATAAAAATCCCAAAAAATTGAATTTTCTCAAATTCTATGCATATATGTACCTAGTAATAAAGGACACATTCAACCTTTAACTTGAAATACAACTATAATATTGGTGGAAAAGAACTATGTCATGTAAGAATGTATCTTAATAGCTATCATTACAAGAAAAAAAGGTTCATAGCTATAGGATATATAGATATAAGTATACTTATTGTGATGATTTGCCTAGGTATATAAGTATTGATTTTATGCAGCATACAAAGAATAAATCAATCACGCCTAAGAAATGCATAGCTTTCCTGAACAAAAATATAACCCTATAAAAGCTGCTTATTAGTGTATGTACAACTAAGCAGATGTGTCCTTATTTAAACACATATGTGATTTTCCATGGGGCACATGTATAATATTTTGTATAAAACTTCTCTTTCTCTTCAGGTACTTATTACTTTTCTCACACAAACAAGTACCTGGAATGTCTGCCTTATTTACATTGTATAATCATTTCCCTCCCTTTAATGATCCTGGCAAATGAAAATAGGGATAGGCATTAAACTGAGAAAGACAACAATAGAATTAAACAAATTCACAACCTTCAGAGATGATAGCAAGACCAGATCCTCTTCAACAAAAGCTAAACTGCAAGGACCTGAGGAACACCTGAGAAGAAAACTGGGGTAACCCTCAATTGGCAGAAAAGTCAGGATAACTTCCTATAGGCAGTAACAGCTCATAGACTAATGCAATCCAGGGGCAATGGAACTGCAGAGATTAAGGATTTTGAGAGAGTCTGGAAAATTATAGCATATATTTATATATAAAGAAGGGGATCCATGAGTCAGATATATCTCAGCCTAATATCAATCTCTCTTAAGGCAAAGATACCTAGCTCCATTAACTACTTCCTAGTTTTTGTAGTTAATGGCTAAGATCTAAAATGAAAGAGAAACATTACTCTTATGTCTGGTGAACAGAATTCATCTTGTCAAATTAAGATTCCACTGTTAAACCCAGGGAATAAAGCATAAAATTTATACAGCTTTACTATGCACACCTATACAATTAACGGAAAAAGTCTACAATCATACCACTAATAATATAATGTTGAACTATAAATATAATATCACACCTAATCATGTTGCTTTTTTCTTGTAGTGTCAAAACTTGTGCAAACTTAGTCTTTTCTGAAGACTGTAATTTAATTATTTATTTTGGGGTTTTGGGCCACACCTGACAGGGCTCAGGGAGAACTCCTGACTTTGTGCTCATGGATCACATCTAGTAGTGATTGGAGAACCATAAGTAGTGCCAAGGATTGAACCAGGGTCTGCTGCATATTCCTTAACTCCAAAACTATCTTTCTAGTTCCTGGAATTTAATTATTTCAATAATACAACATGACCACAGGCACTTTTGGTAACCAATGAATTGATTAAAATGGTACTGAGATTGAATGAATAAACTACTCTAATGCTAGTTAATATCTAGGAGAATTTCTTTAAATTTAGCAATAGATCTCTTCAATAATCTTGTAATATGCATCAAGAATAAAAAATAAGATTTGCATTTGAGAAGTAACAAAAACTTCCAATAAATTCTGAATCTGAATATTGTTTTCATCTATCAATATTGCATTGGTTACCAAAAATAATCTGCTGTTTAGAATTAAAATTTATATTTTTATAAAGTACAAGAAAACAAAGAGCCACTTTGTTCACTTATAGCTGCCAAGAACTGACCAATGATTTAATGGACATTTCATTTTTGAGGGATCTAACAGTTATGATTTCATCAATTTTTAAGACTTATTTCTCAGGATGTATACAAAAGTAAATACTAAGTAACCCACTTCATAGAGGAAAGTTTGATGAAATGAGAAGAATGCCAGAGGTGAGATTACAAACAATGCTACATTTGCTGTGTATCTAGAAGATTCCTGCTATAGTCAATCAACCAGACTAGCTGATTGATACACAGAGGAGTCCTCAAAGACAGTAACCACTAAACCCTTTTCTAATAATTCAAACATTACTAGCACACAAATACCATACCACAAAATAAAACCATGCTTAAATTACTTTCCTTAAGCACTAAAAAACTAATTTTTCCTATTTTCAATAACTGTAAAAATAGCCTTGTCTTCTCAAAAGGATCTAGTCATCCTCATCAATGGAGCAGTGATATCCTCTGGCCCTAAAGGTATAAATCATTGTTAGAGTTTGTTAAAAACCAGTATCATATAAAGTTGCATAATGCATGGAGCAAAAGGGGAATGAAGACAAAGCAAGGAACCCTATATAAATGTGTTGACCCAAAAGCAATCACACCGATAGCCAGAAGAAGTGGAAATTGTGAAGTGGTCTTCAATAATTTACTGCAAAGAGACAAAGAAATATGAGTCATTACATAAACTACATTGCAAGAAAAAAATTACATTTTACAAGTAAAATAATAGCATAGTGGTAGAGTGTTTGCTTGCACACGGCCAATCCGACCGACCCAGGTTCAATTCCTCTGCCCATCTCAGAAAGCCTGGCAAGCTACTGAGAGTATCTAGCCTTCATGGCAAAGACTGGCAAGCTCCCCGTGACGTATTCTATATGCCAAACACAGTAACAAGAAGTCTCACAATGGAGACGTGACTGGGCCTGCTCGAGCAAATCGATGAACAACAGGAGGACAGTGACGGTGACAGTAACATTATTTTATACATGCATAAAATACACTTAATACAGCCTTCCAAAAGTGGTTTCAGATGAAATAAAGTTACATGTGATGAATTCAAGATCCATGATTTTTTTGCGATTTGTACATTTTTTTGTAAATACCACATACCTTTTGCATATTTTTTAAAAAAGATTCACAAGTCACATTCTGGCTTAAAAAGAGATAAATGCCCCAATTTTTCTTGAATCACACCTGGTAGTGTTTGGGCCTACAATTGGCTTGGTGCTTAAGGACCACGTTGATGTGGTGCTGGGACAAACCTAAGGCTCTCACATGTACAGCATGCACTCTAGCTCTTTGAGTTATCTTGCAAGCCTAAATAAATAATATTTCTACTAAGCAAATAACGAGTTATGTTTATATTCTAACATCAGAAAAATACTAACTGAACTTTTATTCTTACTTTTCTCCTGGGAAATTAAACCTAGCAAAAATAAAATACTAGTTTTCTTTTGTTTATGGTTTTACTTCCTGCAGTTTCAGTTATCTAAAATCAAGTGGGGTCAAAAATGTTATACACAATTAGATATTTTGAGAGAAATACTACATCCAAAAAATGTTTATTACAACGTATTATAATTGTTTTATTTTTAGTCACTGTCACTGTCCTCTCGTTCATCGATTTTCTCAAGCGGGCCCAGTAACGTCTCCATCGTGAGACTTTATTGTTACTGTGTTTGGCATATTGAATATGTCACGGGTAGCTTGCCAGGCTTTGCCGTGCGGGCAAGATACTCTCGGTAGCTTGCCAGGCTCTCCGAGAGGGGTGGAGGAATCGAACTCGGGTCGGTCATGTTGGCTGAGTGCAAGGCAAATGCCCTACCTGCTGTGCTATAGCTCCAGCCTGTATATATATAGTTATAGTATACTATAGTATACTATACTAGTTATAGTATTTAACTTTACTTAAAATAGCATACAGAAAAACAAAACAAAAAAATCCTATCAAATAAAGAAGAATCCGAAATTCTTAACAATGGCATAAAAAATAATTTGGGGGTTGGGGTTTCCCAAGCAATATTCAAAAGGCTGGAGATGGGGGGCTTGTGTGATTCTTAGCTAGCTGGACCAGCAATTCAATGTGAAGACCTGATGAGGATTCAGTACTGTTAGGGCCCTGCAGTGCTGCAGATTATATGGGTCACTCTGATAGTGCTCCGGGAGGCTCCAGGGACATACCCTGGAGGTGTGGTGCTGAGCAGGAGACCTCCAGGAAAGCATTCAGTGGTGCTCAGGGTACCATGTGGTGGTCCAGAGTCAGCCCTCAAACCAGGTTTGGCTGTATGCCTTAACCTCCGGCCCTGACAATAATTTTTTTTCTTTTTTTTCTCAGCCACATCCTATGGTGCTCAGGGATCACTCCTGGAGGTGCCCGGGGGGCATATGGGATACTGGGGATCAAACCAGAGTGCTCACCTGCTGTACTATCACTCTAGTCCCTGCAATTACAATAAACATTTTTTTAAAAAAGTATTAGTAAAGATTATCATCTTTTTTTCTCTAAAATTTATGAAACTGAGAATAAGTGGAGCAAGAAATTTGCTAAAGGCAAACACCTATTAGCTTGAAGACCCAATATTTAAATCCCAGGTCTGCTTGATTATAGAGCATCTATAAATATAAACCAGAATGGACTGAAAAAGTCCTCAAAGCATACAACCAGTCAATGAAACATAATGCTTTTAAAATAAATTTTAAACATATACATATATACTGATTTCATAATAAGCCTCATATTTCCATTACTCAGCTTCAAAATGATCAAATTACAGCTAATCTTACTTTACCCCTGCATTTCCATCCACTCTTCCTGTACTTCTTGAAAGCATATCTAAAATTTCCAATCTTTTAAGGACTTACTTTTTAAAGAAAAAAAACTATGATATCCCAATAGTAAAATTAAATACTAAGAAAAGAGGATCATGAACCACCACTGCTGCCATGTAAGCGTATGCACTGGCTTGTCCCAGAGACTCATAAATAAATCTCAAAAGAGATCATGTAGCAGCAAAAATTTCTTGGACACTTGTAGCTGGCTGAGTTCTGCCTCATGATCAGTTCCTACCCAAAATATGCTCAGCAACTGCTACCACACCCTAAAGCCTCTGCCATGTCTCTGGTCAGATCCCACGACCTTAGGACCAAGAACTACAGAGAACCTAGTCTGCTGAAAACTCCAGGTACACTCATTTTTGTGGCTGAAAACCCTAGGTCTTGTCGAAATCGGAGTGGAAGAACTCTCCCTACCTCTCTGTACTTCCAGAAAACCTATAAGCCAAGCCAGTTAAATATTTAACTTTCCAGTTAACTTTCCTGGATTAAATAGTTTGGATTTTCTGGAGTGACATATACAAACTCTGACATCCCATTCGTAGCACACCAGAATGGATGGGATGTAATGCAGAATCCAATCAATGTCAACTAACAAAAACATAAATGAAGAAGGCTTAAATTGTAACAATACCTTAGTTAAACCTCAGACAAGGATTTAATGTACCCATGATAAGATACAACCTTTTCACAAATTTTCTCCTATGGAAATAATTTTCTGATCATTGCACTAACCATTTAGTGGTAACAAGCAATATAAAATAAATTATTGTGGGTCTGCTATAGCGACAGGCTTGAAAATGGAGACAATGATGAAAGGAAGGTAACAATGGTGGGGGAGTGGTGTTGGAATACTGAATGTCTGTAACAAATCATCATGAACAACTTGCAAACCCCCAGATGTTTAAATACAGTGGAGAAAAAAAAGAACTAAGAAAAAAATATAATATACTTGTGTAAGTTATATTTGCATATAAATAATTACTTTTATGGCATTAACAATAAGAATATTCTAAGTATTAGGGACAGAAAGCATGTTATAAATATAAAAGGGTGATAAAAAACAGGGACATGGAGGAGGAAAAGAGCAAGATTAAACCACTATACCTTGACTTTATTGAAACAGTAGAAGTATTTCCAAGAATTGCCATAGTTGGAATAAGGATAAATGCCAAAGGTTTGCATGGATCAGGATTAAGCTTGAAGTAATAACTATATCAAAGAGAAAAAAATGAAGCATCAACAAAACATATCTGCTTATTTAAAATCATCAGAATCAAGTTTTTCCCTGCGACAAAGTCCGGATTAACTTTTTATATATGTGGAGAATTTAGGCCAAGATCATTTGAAGAAATTGTATATAACCTTCCAAAAGTCACGTGATGCTTGCTTGCCTTTAAAATTTTTATTTTATTTTCTTTATTGAATAATCTTGAGCAATACTTACAAAGCTATTATGTTTGAGTTTCAGTCATACAATGACTGAACATCCATCCTTCACCAGTGTACATTTTCCAGTGTCCCCAGTATCCCTCCTCCCCCCACACTCCCCAAGTCCCATTCTTCCCCCTGCCTCTATGGTAGACAGTTTTCCCCTTACTCTCTCTGATTATGGGAATTATAGTTTGCAATACAGATAATGAGAGGCCATCATGTTAGGTTCGTAAACTACTTTCAGTACACATCTCCCATCCCATCCCGAGGGATCCCTTCAGCCATCATTGACTTACTGATTCCTTCTCTATCCCACTTGCCTTCTTCCCCAGCTCATAAGGTAGGCTTACAACAATGGAGCAATCTTCCTGGCCTTGTCTCTACAGTCCTTGAGTGTTAGTCTCATATTATGCTATTTTATATTCCACAAATGAGTGCAGTCATTCTATGTCTATTCCTCTCTTTCTGATTCACTTCACTTAGCATACTCTCCATGACCATCCACTTATAAGCAAATTTCAGGAATGTTTGCCTTTTCAAGCCTATGTTCTCTCTTAAACATCTCTCTCTCTCTCCCCATTGTTCCCTTCTTCCTCCCTTAAATCTTTCAATAAATCCTATTTCTCTCTCTCTCATCAGAACCACAAGAACTGAGTGCTGAAAGGAGGTAACCTAATAGCCCGATATATATATATGATACCCTTTCAGTAACAGCATTGCAAACCACAGGGCCTAAAAGGAAAAAAACAAAGTGGCTTCCATGGAGGCAGGCTGGGGGGGAGGAGGGAAACTGGGAACACTAGTGGAGGGAAGTGGACACTGGCAAAGGGATTGGTACTCATTGTACAACTAAAACTAAATCATGAACAACTTTGTAACTTTGTATTTCCTGGTGATTCAATAAATTAATTTTTTTCAAATCATCAGAACCAAGCAAATTAGATAAATTCTGGTAGCAATTCAGATTTTTTTTTAAAAAAAAGGGTAACCTGAACAGTTCATGTAATCTTTAACAAATAATTTCTACTCTAGTCTATATAATCTTTATACCCAAGGTTTTTATATGAACAATGTCAGGAACTACTAAAAAGGAAAACATCCAATACAGAAACATTTTATTTCTGTAATAGGTACATATGCAAAAGGTTCACATAAAAATAAACCAATATATTTAATTTTTAAAGCTGCTTAAGAAATGTTTTTAAAAGGTCTGTGTAAATTGTCCACAGGATACTGTGAAAATCTAAATTCTCATCTTGCATTTATTGACAATGAGGTGTGACCAATTAGTTTACAGAATTATAAATTTGTGCTCTTACATAATCTTTTCCCCAGATCTGTGAACAAAAATCTGAATCTTGATTGAAGGATTAAGGAAGGATAATACCTGGTAATGTCAATTAGTTACTTAACTAATTTTGGTTTGATCAAAGAGTTTTCAAAAAGAACTTCAGGGTACATAGATAAACTAAAAGCTTTATATTGTTTCTAAAAACTAAAATTAAAAGTGGGGTTTGATATTAATTTTGGATGATGTGGTCTACTTTTTTGTTTCATTTTGTTTTGCTTTGGGGTCACACTTGGCAGTGCTTAGGCTTAATACTAGTTCTGCACTCAGGGATCACTCCTGGTGGCACTCAGGGGACCATACAGGTTGCCAGAGATCAAACAGGGGTTGGCTGTGTACAAAGCAAGCACCCTAGCCCGCTGTATTCTCTCTCTGGCCCCAGAATGGCCTATTATTAAAAACAACTTGCTAACAGAGGAATATCCTAGAAATAATCTTGGAGGGAAGTGTCAGGCTCTCATTCACTTACTTCATGGTAGCAAAGCTATGGACAGTTTTCAGTAGCGAAACAGCGATATTTAGTTTTGTTCAATGTGTGGCACACATTAGATAAGTACACATTTATTATTTCTAAAATATGGGCTGGACTGCCACAGAGGCAGGGTGGGATGGGGAGGATGGGGGGTGGGAGGGATACTGGGACCCGTGGTGGTGGAGGATAGGCACTGGTGGAGGGATGGGTACTTGATCATTGTATAACTGAAATCCAAGCACAAAAATTTATAAGTCTATAACTGTACCTCATGGTGTTTCACTAATAAAAAATAAAAATAAAAATACAAAAAAGAAAACAATAAAATAAAATAAAATATGGGCTGGAGCAATAACACAGAGGGTAGGACGTTTGCCTTGCATATGACCAACCTGGGTTCGATTCTTCCATCTGTCTTGAAGAGCCCAGCAAGCTACTGAGAGTATCCTGCTTGCACAGCTCCCCATGGCATATTCGATATGCCAAAAACAGTAACAAGTCTCACAATGGAGACATTACTGGTGCCAGCTTGAGCAAATCGATGAACAATGGGAGGACAGTGACAGTGACATATTTGTAGGGAAGTATTAAAGTTTTAAAAAAAAATAAGCTCTCTGGAAAGAAAGATGGCGGCTGCACGGGAGCCTTGTGGACAGCAGGTTTGAGCCAGGGGTGGTGGGAGCGGCAGGGACCTCATGGGAAGGGGGGCGTAATGGGCCGTCCTTCACGCCCGACCGAGGTCGCCAGCTACCCCCCACGAGCGGCTCTCTGGCACGGCCACGGCCCCGGAGGCACAAGGACTTAGCACAGAGAGCCACCCGCTTGGAGCAGAAAAGCAAATGGACTATGTGTTAAACCGCGCCAGCATGCCTGCCCGGAGGGGAAAGGGTGTTGACCCACTCGCCCGCTCCTCTCTGGAAAGAAAGATGACGGCCGCACGGGAGCCTTGTGGACAGCAGGTTTGAGCCACGGGTGGGGGCGGCAGGGACCTCTTGGGAAGGGGGGGGTAATGGGCCGTCCTTCACGCCCGACCGAGGTCACCAGCTGCCCCCCACGAGCGGCTCTCCAGCACGGCCACGACACCAGAGCACAGAAACCAATCTCTTAATTATCTAACTTTTAATAGAAATTCTTCCAGGGTTAATAAGTAAAACAGCAGAAATCCAAAACCGCACGGCCGCGATAGCGGCCACGCGACATCATTTTATTCTTAAACCAAGTTGTAGAAAGCAAATCATTTCACAAGGCTGTTTCAGCATGTCTGATTGGGGGGGGGGGGTCGTAAACTCTAAACAATAATTGTGCATCTTCTATCGAAACAATGTATCTAGTTAAAGTAGATAGAGTATTAACTAGAACTCATCTGCCTCACAGGAATTGGGAGGGGTGGGAGGTGGGGTTCTATTGGGGTTCGCGGTTAAAAATAAGTATTGGTAAAGGGAAATGTGTGTGATACTTACATGACTGAGACCTAAACCCGAAAGCTCTGTAACTTTTCCCACAGTGATTCAATAAAGAAATTATAAAAAAAATAAAGAAAATAAAGAAAAAAGGCCCTCCCGTTGTTTATCGATTTGCTCGAGCGGGCCCAGTAACGTCTCCATTGGAGACTTTGTTGTTACTGTGTCTGGCATATCGAATACGTCACGGGGAGCTTGCCAGGCTCTGCCGTGCGGGCGAGATACTCTCGGTAGCTTGCCAGGCTCTCTGAGTGGGGCGGAGGAATCGAACTCAGGTCGGCCATGTTGTCTGCGTGCAAGGCAAACGCCCTACCGCTGTGCTATCGCTCCAGCCCTAAACTAAAGTTTTATTTTAACAAAATTTACTACATCGCTCCAGCCCTAAAGTTTTATTTTAACAAAATTTACTACAAAGAAATGTGAGGGTAGAGAAAAAAAGAGACGTGTTTAAGAAAGAATATGGCTTTTGCTTCCAGCAAATTTAGGAAAACATAAAATTGATCATGAATTGAAAAATATATAAAGCACTAACCTTATAAATACTTTAAGCCCCAAAAGAAGTATATGTTCGTATTTCTAGATTCAAGTGAATTTAGAGATAAAATTAAACATCACCTCCTCTTTAATAAAAAATTTGGGGCCACCAGCAGAGGTCACTTCTGGTGATACTCTAGGGAGCAGATGAGGTGACAGGGACTGGACAGAGTAAGTAGCATGCAAGGCAAGTACTTTATCTTCTGAACTATGTCTCCTGCCCACCCCTACCCCCAATTTTGTTTTTGCGGTTTTGGGAATAAAACCCAGGACTTCATAGATGCATGGGAAATGCTTTTATGCTTAGCCACAAACCAGTTCCAATTTCCTCATTTGGAGGCAAACTTAGGGGAGTTTATATTCCCAGGCTATTTTTATAGTAAGAAAGAAAATGTGAAAATTTTGAACAAGATTTATGGACCAATAGTACCTAGCAAGCTTCTACCTCTAGATATATATTGTTTGAACTATACAAATTATAATTATATATAAATCAGAAGTACCTGAGATTTTTAAACCAATAAATTAGAGACGGCATGCTGAGTAATACAATCCATGTTAACAAATTAATCACGGTATTGTGCATGTGAAGACTATCTTCAACATCACTAAATGAAGATAAATGAAGATGGTATATTGTAGAGTCTTTAGGGTGACTGGACTTTTTTTCACTTCGTTTAGAGTTTTTTGCATTCTATAAAGAAAGTAAAAATACGAAGATATTAAACAAACTTTAAGTTTATTATTTTACTTAGACTCATAATCAGCAGCTAACAATACATATTTCTGTACCAAATTGACATGAAATACTAAAACTGTTTAGAAATACTTTAAGATATGTTGGGTAGATAAAATCTATTCATTCTGAATCTCTCTCTAGGTAAGTATAGGAACTGAAAATCAAGTACATCATATATATATATATATATATATATGTGTATATATATGCTTTTTGGGTCACACCCAGCAATGCACAGGGATTACTCCTGGCTCTGCACTCAGGAATTACTCCTGGCAGTGCTTAGGGGACCACATAGAAGGCCAGGAATCGAACCCGGGTCGGCCACATGCAAGGCAAATGCCCTATCCACTGTGCTATCGTTCCAGTCCCACTTATAGATATTTAAAGCACATTTTATAAGTAATATACTGCCTACATATTTTCAACTGGAGAAATAAAAGTACTAAAACTTTGTTTAAAATGGTAAAAATAAAAGTACTATCATTGTGTAGAACTATTTATCCTCTGTAACTCTTGAAATAAAAAAATTATTTGTAAAAATAAAAACAAAAAAAGTGTTAAGTACTGACAAAACTAAATTAAATGAAGATCATCTATTCCAATATTCATTAGGTTCACTCTTCTTAAATTTATATTAAAAAACTGTAAAATCCTTAACTATTTTAAAGAAAAAACTATTTTCCTGCTAGTATGATGTAGAATTGTGAAAATAAAACTTACCACACTCTGGGTATTTTTTAAAGTTGTTAGACTGGCTTGCAGATGAACAATCTAAGAAAAAAAGAAATTTATTTCATTTGGAAACAAAATGAACCTCTTAAAAATTAAAATTAAGAAACACTGCCATCTGAGTTTTGAAAAATCTAAATAAAATTTACCTACACAGTTAAAACCATTTCTTTATAAAAGAAGTCCATCTTTTCTACTACATGTAGCAAAAACTGTGTATTTGTACTATGGATTAAAAAGTAAGTACATTGGGGAGGAAGTGATAGTACAGTGGGTAGGGAGCTTGCCCTGCAGGCAACCGACCCAGGTTTGGTTCCTGACATCCCATAGTTTCCTGAGTCTGCCAGGAGTGATTCTGAGTGCAGAATCAGAAATAACCCCTGAGCACTGCAGGGTGTGGCTCAAAAACAAAACAACTGTAGCACTGTAGCACTGTCCTCCTGTTGTTCACTGATTTGCTCGAGTGGGCCCAGTAACATCTCCATTGTGAGAACTTTTGGTTACTGTGTTTGGCATATCGAATATCTCGGTAGCTTGCCAGGCTCTCCAAGAGGGCTGAAGGAATCGAATCTGGGTCAGCCAGGTCGGCTGCGTGCAAGGCAAATGCCCTACTGCTGTGTTATCCCTCCAGCTCTAAATTTAAAAATACTCTATTCCTGTACGAGGTTGATATGAAATACTGAAAACTATTTAAAGATATGGATTTTAAAAAATGAAAACAGTTAAGACAAACTTCTTAATTGTGTTGAGGTCACAATACACTGCTATTCTTTCTACATTTTTTTTTTTTTTGCTTTTTGGGTCACACCCATCGATGCACAGGGGTCACTCCTGGCTCTGCACTCAGGAATTATCCCTGGCAGTGCTTAGGGGACCATATGGGATGCTGGGAATCGAACCTGGGTCGGCCGCGTGCAAGGCAAATGCCCTACCTGCTGTGCTATCACTCCAGGCCCTCTTTCTACATTTTGAGTCTGTGAGTTAATGATACTTTGCTATAGCAAATAAATGTGTCTTGTGAGTAAATTTTTTTTATTATATTCAGTATAGTATAACATTTTAATGCTTAATTATTTTTAAAATATAAATCTTTAAAATATCTGAACTCAAAATATGGTGACAAGATATTTACAAGAATTTGAGAAAATCTGTATGCACAATTTATTAAATTGCTAATATGTTGTTTACTGAGTTGTTTGATAAACCCAATTGAAAACCCCAAATTGTGAATGAATAAATTTAAATAGTTCTAAATAATTTTGTTCTGGTAGATTTAAATTTTCTTTGAAACTAAAAAACTGCAACACACATGTATAAATGCTAAAAGCATGGGCAAATAAAACTTTGTTTTAAAAAAAAGAGTATTATTCATTCTGATATCAACTGTCTTCACAAAAGATTAATGTGGAAAGCTTTTCCCAATCTTGCAAGATGGCAAATGAAAAGGCAGAAAAGTTGGCTACTGAAGAGAAGAAGCATAAAGACACAAAGGCCGTTACAGTCTACAAGGTTAAGAAGAGAAAACCCTAAGGCTAAAACACCAAAGGGGAATACCCATTATAATCAAAACCTGTCCTATTCAGGGAATTGACAAATATTCCCAATAAGCTATATATTCCAGAAAGGCTATGTACCAGAGGAAATATTCACCAGAGAAATGTAAGATAAAAAAAAAAAGTCACAAGCCAGTCAGCGGTGAGAAGAATGGGGGTACCCGAGTAGATAGGTTTTGCAAGAGGCTGAGATAATAGTATACCAAAGATGTGCCACTAAAGTTACTGAGCCACAGTGGAAAGTGTTTTTTAGTCAGTTTGTGAGGTAACTGAGGGCCAGTATCACTCCTGGACTTTTCTGATCCTTCTCCCAGGATCTAACAGGGGCAAGAGGGTGATTTTACTGAAGCAGTTGGATGATGTCTTCAATAAATAGAAAACTTGTGACGGACCTCTGTTCCTCATTAGGCATCTCTGCATAGGTAAAGGTAAAGGTAAAGGCCCTCCCGTTGATCATCGATTTGCTCGAGCGGGCCCAGTAACGTCTCCATTGGAGACTTTTGTTGTTACTGTGTCTGGCATATCGAATACTCTCGGTAGCTTGCCGGGCTCTCCGAGAGGAGCGGAGGAATTGAACTCGGGTCGGCCATGTTGGCCGCGTGCTAGGCAAACGCCCTACTCGCTGTGCTATCGCTCCAGCCCTTTGCACACAATAAATCTGTTGATGCCTTCTCCACCTAAATTTATATTAGTAGTATAAAACTTTCCCAAAACATCTGACTGATGCTTACTTAAGGAAAAAAAAGTTGTGCAAACTGACACCAGAAGTGAGCTCTTTGACACAGAGAAGAATTTGAAATAGGAGGTAAGAGCAGTGCAAGATTATCACAAAATTGTGAACTCAAATATTGCCAAAAACAAAAGTTATTCCTCAATTCATTTTTGTTCTTTATTTGCTCTAACAAGTAGAATTTATGCTTACAAATTGTGTCCTAATTTTCTTATAAAGATCCTAGTTAAATTATGGATCCATTTTTTATACATTATTTAATATGAAGAACATATACTTGTATGATCCAGAAATTTCTGCAAAAAAACAGTCTTCTTGGAAGTATTTTTTCACTCCCTTAGTAAAATGATTAATTACTTTTATTGTATTCTGATACTTTATCAACATTTATAATATTCTACATCATCTCAGCATGATAACTTGATCCACTGACATAACTGTTTTGTCTATTACAAACCCATATTCAAATGGAAATATAAATAAAACCTGCTTAATTAAAGTTTTTTCTTTAAATATTACTTGAAAGAACAAATAATGTGAAACAGGGTATATTATTTGTTCCTTTTTGTAAAACAGAGAAAGTATTAATAATTTCAGGTCTCTATATACATATATATATAAAATTAAAGAAATAAGATTTTCAAACAAAAATACTGCACTTAAGCCTTTTACATAGCAGAAGATTATTGCAGCAGTAAATAATAACTTTTTTTTTGTGGGGAAGCCACACCTAGTGGTGTTCAGGGCTTACTCTTGACTCTGCATTCAGGGATCATTCCAGTTTGTATTTAAGAAACCATACGGGGTTGCAGAGATCAAGTCTGGGTCGGTTGTGTGTAAGGCAAGTTTCCTATCCACTGTACCATTGCTCTGGACCCCAAAGGTTTTATTTTCCCTAATGAACAATACCTATATGGAATTCTATGCCTGCCCACTACAAAATCTAGTCACTGATTTGACATACCTTAAACAAATAGTAAAGATAAGTAAGAAATATGGCAAATGCTCCACACGTTGTCCAACTAACTATAATCAAAACAACTGTCAAGCAGGGCAAATCTGGTGTCATCTTGATATCTTTAGGAGGTTCAGACGGTCTGAAAAAGAATAAACCTTTTTAAATCTATGTTAATGGTTACTTATAGGGTCGCATATAAAAGGAAAACAATACTCTTCCTGTATCTCCAATTTATTACTATGCAAATAAGAGTATATTAAAATAAAGGTACAGGATGAAGGGGATACATATTTGATCATAAATTCTAAAACACTCTGACAGCTTCTCTTACATTTTGATACAGTACAGATATTTGCAGTAAGAAAAGCATGCTATGAAAGATATTTATTAATTATAATCTTTGTGCACTACACTTCAATATGTATAGGAGTGGGAGCAGTTTTCTATTTCTTAAAGTCTCAAGATCATGCAAATATGTGACAGTATTAATGTCAGAAGCACCTCTAAAGGGTAGAAGAAGAAACATCACAGTATGACACACTTTTTTGTCAGTGAATCATTGCATATACCCAGTGAGAAGTGATAATGTAACTAAATCTCGGTTTTCCCCATAAAAGCCTACCAATAACTTCAACCTGTTTTGGGGCTTCTCTGAGCGTAAGATAAGAGTCTAGGTAATGTTTCTGAAGCTCTTCACATTTCATCTAATATGGTCCTAAATATCTTGACAGCCTCTGTATCAGATTTGACTAAAAGTCAGAATATTGTCAAAAAAACACTTTCAATTTGAAAAACTTTAAAATTGAAATTCAAAAACTTGTATGATCTGCCAAAATACTTTTACTTAACTCTTGAGTATGAGAAACATACACTTTAACTGCAATAAGTTTTGACAAAGACATTACTTTGAATATCAATTCATGTTTTGCCAGCTAAAGATGCCATATTGTACCATCTTTCCTTGGAAATAATAGTCTAATTAGAAAGCTTTGCCCTTCATTCTTTACCTTTTCACAGCTAGCCACAATGAAGATAGGAGTTTCACAGACGTAGAAGAAAGCAGGCCACCCCAGTAGGCAGTACATGTTCCAAACAGAAAGAGAATCAAGGATACCAGGGGGAAACACATGCTCTGACTAGTCAAAACAATGGCATCTAATTCTGGTAGGAATAACAGATCCCATATTTCTTTAAACCATTTATATCTGTGGATAAAAGAAAACATAAAAGGTAAAAAATATCAACACTCAGGTGTTTTATCATGCAATCACTGATGTACTCAATGTTTCCTGTGTCTTAATTTATAATCATATTGAAAAATAAATTTCAGGTACTTATGGGAAACAAGGGACTCTGCACCAGGCTGTTTTCACTCAGGGTGCCCCAGAGTGGGGCAGGTAAGAGCCCTCCCTGCACCAAGGAATTCAGCTGACTTCCACTACCCAACCCCACCACCCTCCAGACCACTTTCCAAACCACGCGGCTGCAAAGTGGCCGCGTAACATATCATAAAACACTTCCTACTCATTTTCCATAATTACCACACCATATTTGATGGGGTTCAGACAGTTGGCAACAAATTATATATTTATATATATGCCTCTCGGAGAGCCCGGCAAGCTACTGCAAGTATCCCTTCTGCATGGGCAGAGCCTGGCAAGCTCCCCATGGCTTATATGGTATGCCAAAAACAGTATCAATAACAGGTCTCATTTCCCTGACCCAGAAAGAGCCTCCAATCGTTGGGAAAAGATGAGTAAGAAAAGGCCGCTAAAATATCAGGACTGGGAGGAATAGAGACATTACTGGCGCCTGCTCGAGTAAACTGACAAACAATAGGATGACAGTGATGGGAAAGAAATAATTTATTTGTGAAGAAAATCTACTGATCTTCAGTTATCCATATCGTGGGTTAAAATACAGTTTGACTGCTATATATTGATCTTTGCAAAAAAGAAATGGCAGGTACACATCTCTCTCTCTCTCTCTATATATATATGCATATATATACACACACATATATTTGCTTTTTTTGGTCACACCTGGTGATGCTCAGGGGTTACTCCTGGTTCTGAACCCAGGAATTACTCCTGGCAGTCATCGGGGGACCATATGGGAAGCCAGGGATGGAATCTGAGTTGGCTGTGCGCAAGGCAAATGCCCGACACTCTTTACTGTTGATCCGGCCCCCACATCCTTATATTTAAGTTTTAAAAGCTAGTTGTATGGATAGGAGATGTCTAAGTATTGAAACCTAAATAAAATCCACAAAAATTGATAAATTAAGAATGGAATTCTGGGGCTGGGAAGATGTGCCTAACCCTAGTTAGAAGCCTGGCACCACATGCTCCCACCTATATCAAATCGCTGAAAACAGCCATGGAGACCCCAGATCACAAATCAGCGTGGCTCTGGTCATCCCAAGCACAGAAGGGCCCCAGCAACACAGCATCTTCTGGCCCTAGCATTCAAGCAAATGGCTTGGTTGGCCATGAAGCTGGGGACCCTGAGCACTGTTTGGGAGGTTTCTCCCCTAAATCTATCCCTTACAAAAAAGGAAGGAGAAAGGAATGTTAGAGAGATGTAAAACACACTTTGGGAAGTAAGAAAAAATTTCTTACTTTTTCTGTTTCATTAATACTCTATAATGGTTTTTATTCAGAATCTATTATTCAGGGGGCCAGGAGGCGGCTCAAAGTGTTAAGCACATGCTTTACATGAAAAAGGTCAATACCGAATGCCTGGCACCAAATGATCTCCTGAGCAAACCAGGGTGTGGTCCAAAAATTGAAAAAAAAAGGGGGGGAGTGAAATCTAGAATATTTAAAGAAAATGGGCCATAGAGATTTTTTTACAAATGTTGATACTTTTTTTTTTTTTTTTTTTTTTGCTTTTTGGGTCACACCCAGCAATGCACAAGGGTTACTCCTGGCTTTGCACACAGGAATTACTCCTGGTGATGCTCAGGGGACCATATGAACTGCTGGGAATCAAACCCAGGTCAGGCACGTGCAAGAAAAATGCCCTATATGCTGTACTATTGCTCCAGCCCCAATGTTGATACACTTTAATTAAGACTTTGCTCCAGAAAAAAAATTTCACCTAACAGAACAAGTCAACTGACATATGTGTATAAAAATGCATATTCCATTTTGGAGGTAAACATAATATTTAATATATAAGACAAATAAAATCATAATCACCGATAATAAAACTTACCCCAATAGAAATTTAATTATAATGACAAAAGGATCAACTTTGTATGGTTTGGCTTCCTTATCCAACATAGTTGCAAAGTCTAAGCAGTGACCTAAGATTAAAAACAAAATTATATGTAACAAACACTTTATAGTCACTAGGAGTAAGACACATTATATTCTACATTGTCTATGAAAGAAATATATTTTATGCCTTAGAGGGTAAGACTTTATAACTATCACAGACTCTCCACAAATGATTGAAACTACTATAATTTAATTATTCTTATACGAGAAGACACATTTAATGATCTGTGAAAGAAATTCAGGAAGCCAAGACTGGGTTTTTATCATCTGTATTTTCACAGCTTTCTACAAATCTCCACAAATGAATTTTTTAAAAAGTCAACCTGACGAAGATATAATTTTCATATACAATTCAACCATTCAGTATATATGATTCAGTAACTTATAGTATATTCCCAAAGCAGAACATCAATCCTCACAAGTTTTAGAATATTTTCCTTACTCTCAAAAGAAACTTTTTCCTCTTTACTGTCACCTCCAGTGCCCTCCCTATTTTTACATAACCACTTAATCTACTTTATCTCTGTATTTCTTAATCTACTTTATCTCTTTAACTCTGGTGTATTCTGAGTATGTCATATAAATGGAATAATCTATGTGGCACTTTCTGATTGATGCCGTTGATTTAGCATATTTCTGAAGAGTCATCCACTACGTAGAAGGTATCAGCACATTTAATCTATTCAGCAGTTGATGAATGTTTGTGTTGTTTCCTCAATTTGGATATTATAAATAGTAATCCTGTGAACACTAAGTACAACTGAGTACAGTTTAGAGTACCTGTGGGTTTTCAGTTCTCTCGGTAATATAGTTATGAACGAAGAAGCTGAAACATACGGATACTGTCTAAATAAGCCTGAGGGACTGCCAGATTGCTTTTCAGCAGCTAAGCCATTTTACAGAGCCACAGTGAAGAAAGATTCTAATTGATCCATATATACACAATATTTACTATTATCTGTTATTTCGTTGTAGTCATTCTATTATTATCACTGATATTTTTGATAAGCATCCCTGATTAGGAACAATTTCTTTAATCTGAGATATTATCTCATATTTAATTCCTCTACATCAGAGGTTCCCAAATTTATTTGGTCTACAAACAAAAAAAAAACAAAGCAGATAAAATATACATTTTTTATGTGAGCAAACAGAAAATGCCGTCAATTTTACCTTCAACTACCACCTACCCTCCACCATGGTCCGGGCAGTATCACCCACTTTGGGAAACAATGCTCTAGATTAATCACTATCATATATGGCTGTGGTCACTATAAACTATCCAGATTGAATTCTATGTTTGAAAATCAATTATCAAGTCACTTAAAACTACAAAAGAGGGGGTATGGTGCTGACAGCAGGTCAATCTGTACCTGTGAGGCGAGTGCATCAGCAGCCTGATGGCACCATCAGACTTTCAGATACCCCAAAATTGCTGCTGTGCCTTTGGCCAGACCCCAAAAATGTGAGGCAAAGTTTACCAAGAAAGTAAACCGCCAAAAGTTAGGTATGTGGGAGACACACCCACAAACCACCTCCGGCTCAGCTATATAATTGGAGGCATGGCCTCTCTGCTTCCTGATTGAACTGCTTAATGGCCATGATCCCAGAGACTCGGAAACAAATCTCAGAACCCAAAGACTTTTGGCAGAAATGCGTCCTGTTCCTGCAGTAGGTTACTGGCGCTGGACCACTCCAGGTGGGAATAGGTTTGGTGCCTTGGCCTGTTCCCCCTGACGGCCTAGTGACCGCCATCCTCCAGAGGCCACTGGACAGTCAGGTTTGGGCCCACAGTGATGAGACACGCATGGCCTCACCAGATAGGGGTGGAACCGGCCCTTTCCTCCTCATCCCAATGAGACCTCAAGTCGCCCCCTATGAACGGCCTCTCTGGCTCCTGATCAAGCTGATTAATGGCCATGATCACAGAGACGCAGAAACAAATCTTGAAACCCAGCGGATTTTGGCAGAAATGCATCTGGACCGCATACAAGGTGGCCGCCGCCTCAGAACTTACAGGAAAGCCAGGTATGAACAGGCAGTGACAGGGCAACTGCAGTCTCATGGGAAGGGGGCGTTTACTGGCTCGTCCTTCACGCATTACCGAGGTCACGAGTTGCCCCCCCACAAGCGGCTCTCTGGCACGGCCATGGCTCCAGAGGCAAAGAGACTTAATTCAGAGCCCGGCAGCTTGTGGCAGAAAAGTGAACAGACCTGGTGTTAAACTACGGCACCATGCCTCCCAGGGAGAGACAGGGTGTTGCTCCCATCTGCCTTTTTCCCCCCTAGTAGCAAGGTGGCCGCCACGTCAGAGCTTATAGGAAAGCCAGGTATGAGCCGGAGGTGATGGGGCAACTGCAGTCTCATGGGAAGGGGGGCGGTACTGGCCCGTCCTTCACACCCTACCAATGTCATGAGTTGCCCCCCATGAGTGGCTCTCCGGCACAGTCATAACACCAGATGCACAGAAACCAATCTTGTAATTATCTGGCTCTTTGCAGAAATCCAAAATCATTATATGATTCTCATAACCAGCTATAGAAAACAAAGTATTTCACAATGCCTTTTCAGCAATTCTGACTGTTGGGAAGGGGAATTCTAAATAATAATGGTGCATCTTTTGTGAAATGATGAATGTAATCAATTAGAGAAGAGTTAAGTGGAAATCATCTGCCTCACAGGCATTGGGAGGGGTGGGAGGGGGGTATATTGGGATTCTTGGTAGTGAAAAATAAGTACTGGTGAAGGGAAAGGTGTTTGATCGTTGTATGACCAAGACTTAAACCTGAAAGCTTTGTAACTTTTCCCACAGTGATTCAATAAATAAATATAAGAAGAAAAAAAACTACAAAAGAATGAGGAGTCTTTCAAATGAAAAGGCATCTATATTCAAGTGTGGTTGATAAAATATTTCCAGAATAATTGCTAATGTGCATCTTGGCACATCACTTGAATGTTCTCTCTTCCAGGAGCACATGTTAAATTAGGTTAAAATGAACACTAACATTAGAAGTGAAACTGTGAAAAGTCACTGAAAGTGAGTGAATAGGTATTGAAGGATTTGGTAAGATGAAAATGGTAGAGAGAATTTTGAGATTGCTTTTATACAAATTAGCCCCACTCTCTTTTCCTACCTCTTGCTCATTTGATTATAGTGTTCAAGTCAAACAATTGTTCAAGGATCTTAAATAGTTTCAGCTCCTGGGAAACTATTCTAATTCCTATATTCCACAGAGAGGGATTTTCCCAGTGTACTCTATTTTATATTTTTCTTTCAGTATCTATTCTTCATTCTTTAACTTTGCTGTTAATTCTGGAAGGACTGGGTTCTAATTGGGTTCAGTGAGTGAGAGGCAGATAAATTAACAATTAGAAGATAGGAGGATGGGAGAAAATAAAGCTACAACATTTATTTCCCTGCTAAGTGACAGGCTGACAGAGGCTGCAGCAATTCCTATACCCAAATGTGCAGCAATGTTGCTTTCTCCTATAGTTCTACAGGTTAGTTTCTTCCCTTGCTTAATACCTGGAGTACCAGATGTCTCTGTTGCAAACCCAGTATTTTGCCATTTCTTGTTGGTTTCCCTTAACACTATATCTGGCTTTGAAACACTCCATTCATTAAACTGTAAATTATATCAGATTTTAAGTCAGGACCTAACTGAAAACAAATATTGTATTTAATGCCCTCTATTTATGTAGCACAATATTAGTTAGTGGGAAAAGAATGAAGAACAAGATTCTCAATAATGAACCTCTGATATATCGACATAAAATGAAGAAAACAAGAATTTTCTTGGAGCTCTTTAAGACTAAGATGATCTCAAACCACAGTGAACTTGAGAGAAATGTCATAAATTTTCTAGAAGTTGATGGATCTTCATTAATCACACGTAGGATAAAAAAGTTATAATGAGGGTCACAAATATGGTTCCATGGTTGAATAATTCAAGTTTTAAAAAACTACTTAAAAACTATAAGGATTTGCAGTTATGAGACCTTGAGTTTGATCTCAGCAACACACACACACACACACACACACACACACACACACACACACACACACGTAAGCAATTATAGAATATTGGTTTGTCTTTCTCCCTGGCCACAGGGAGCTTAGAGTTACTGATTAATACCCATCACAGTACTCCCAAGGCACTCCCATTCCTGTGTGTTTATCTGTAACCTCTTTTTACTGCTCTGCTTCCCCAACTGGTCAATCGTCTTTATCCCCAAATCAGACTCTGTTGACTTGTGAGGTCAGATTCTTCTAAGGATTCTGGATTTGTATTTGTAAGTGAAATATTGGTTTTTCTCTTCTCTTTGTGTCTTTTGCATAGTTACTTTAGAGTAATATCCTTTTTGCATAGACAAAGGAAGAGTTAATGCTATGATTTTGTAACTTGGGAGTTAATTGACTCCGAATATATTCACTCCTGGGCATCTGTTTTCTTGACGTAAGTCTCAGTTGCCCTTAATTCTTAGTACCCTAAAAGCAGGGTACAGACAAGGAACTGGATGGACCCAAGGCAAGCTGTGAGCTACCCTGGAATCGAAATGGGCCAGGTCAAGCACCATAATACTTAACTGTAAGTTAAGAGCATGGTCATGGACAAATTCTGTCATGATCCAAAGAGTAACAACTGAATTAGGACACTGCTAGGATTCGAAAAGACTAATATGGCCTGAGCACTGTAGTCTGGGATCTATAGCGAGATGTCCCCAGGAAACACCCTAAAAGCTTAATGTATCTCTCTTACTATGTCCATACAAAATGACTAATATTAAGAAGTAGGATTAAGATGAATGTTTAAATGGTTGTTGGACTAAGGAAAGAAGAAACACACCCCTAGGTGGTATTTCACCCTTGAGTGGATCTCCTGGCTGCAGGAGATCTTTGTTTTATTTTAGTAAAGCCTCCTTCGGAAGCAAGGGCTTTCATATTGTTGATTGTGCTACCTGACCTGGGTGTAGTGGCTACCCCCAATGCTTGGAGGTTGGGGTGCATGCAAGACCAAGGCTGCGAGATGGAGCACGGAGAAACAAGCATGTGGGACAGGAGGTAACGGGAATAAGAGGCAGTGTAAGACTGGAATGGGGCACTTAGGGAGACTGGAGCAGGTGCGTGGAGAGAATGAAATAAACTGCAGCTGAGCACCAACCAGCCTGGTAGCCCTGTTCCCTCCTTCATGGGACTGTTGTCAGCGACTGCAGACTGGGGTGAGGAAGTGGCTTTCGGCCACCGAACACACGTGGTAGGCAAGGGATACCACCACCACTGCAACCGCCATCACTTAGTTTTTTGTGATTACACACAATTAGAAAAGGAGAAAGGAGGAGGAGAGGGAGAGACAGGGAAATAGAAATATTCTTACCTACTGAGAAGAGAGAGTATAACTGTCCTCCATACGCAAGTAGGATACTAGATATAACATAAGCAGGAAGAGCTCCACCATGAAATCTGACTACCTAGAAAAAAAAAGTAAATTAATGGGTAACTTCTGAATACTCATGTTAATGAAATTAAAGCACATTTACATGAAATAAAAAAGCCTTTCCTCACTTTCTGCTTTTCCTGACTAACATGGTCACAAAAATATTTCTAGTAGCAAAAAAACTCTAAGAGAGTCAGAAGAGACAGTACAGTGGGTAAGGCACTGCTTTGCATGCAGCAGACTTGGGTTCAATCTCTGGCGCCACATATGAGAACTCCTAAGCACCATCAGGAGTGATTCCAGAGCACAGAGTCAGGAGTAAGCCTTAATCACTGCTGGGTGAGGCTTGAAAACAACAACAAAAACATTTAGGAATGGTTCATGGTTAAGAATATATTGAATATTAGAAATTTGATATCTAAAGTTTCCATCAGAAGTAGACAGAGTGGCATTTGTAGGATATACAATAACATAATATGAAACTAATACCCAAGGATACTAGAGACAAGGGCCAGGAAGACTGCTCCATGGTTAGAAGTCTAACTCATGAGTTGGGGTTGAAGGCAGCTGGGATAGAGAAGGGATCACTAAGTCAATGATGATTGGAAGGATCGCTTGGGATGGGAGGTGTGTGCTGAAAGTAGATAAAGGACCAAACATGATGTTCTCTCAGTATCTGCATTGCAAACTACAACACCCATACGTAGAGAGAAAGTAAGAGGGAAATTATCTGCCATAGAGTAAGGGGAGGGACACCGGGGACATTGGTGGTGGAAAATTTATACTGGTGGAAGGATGGGTGTTTGATCGTTGTATGACTGAAACTCAAACATGAAAGCTTTGTAACTGCAGCTCACAGTGATTCAATTAAAAAAAGTATATAGAGTGTATAATTGAGTAACATATACTATACAATTTTTGGTAAGGCATATTTAATATGTTCTGTGCACAATATTAAATACCTTACATGCATCATCTCAAGCTCAGCTTCCCAAAAGTTGAGGTAGATTTTATTTCTATTTTATAGCTGAAGAAAAGCAAAGCAGAAAAAGTGCAAGAAACTTGCACAATTGAAAATATAATAGACAAGCAAGTTACTTGATCGTTACTTTTTGAAAGTCCTCATCAGTAAAATGGGGACAATATTAGCCTTTACCTGACAGACTATTTAATGAACTAAACATGTTCATTTGTGTAAAGTACTGAGAATTATAACTGGAACATGAAAAGCTATTAGAAAAATACTACCCACTATTAAATGTTTATGTTCTTTACTACTGAAATTTTATGGAAAGTAATTTCACCACTATATTATAATATCTCAAATCATTCTATTAGCAGTTCTAGTCTCTGGAAAAAACATAAAACATAAAGTAAAGACCAGGTAGATAGCTCAAAGGGCTGAGGCACATGGTTTGTGCTCCGGGTTTGAACACCTGCACAGCTTGGTCTTGTGAGCACCACAAGAACAAACCACCTAGCACCAAGTTGGATGTAGCATCAGGTGAAGCCTCAAAACAAAACAGCAACAACAAAATCCATAAAAGTTACCACTTATTCACAGGTAATAAGTTCTAAAATTACTAGCTAATGACAAAAACATAATACTAAATCTTAAGTATACCGCTTTTCATATACATACATATATTGTACATATGTATACATGCCAATTATAAAGTGTAATGGATAGACACAGTAGATGAGCCACAAGTAATAGAAAAATTATAATGAAAGTTAGGCAAATGTAGTCTCTCAAACATCACTGCACATAATATATCATCAATATATTGTTGATGACAGGTAACTGAAACCAAATAAAGCAAAACTGGATAAGAAAGGACTATTTCATTTAAGATAAAAACAAAACACGTGGTTTACCATTAGCCACCTCCATGGTCTTAATAATGTTTTAAAAAGAAACAACTGAAATAATGAAGGGAAGCAGACATTCTAGTGGAGGGTGTACTGTTGGAATGTTGTATGCATGAAGTCTGATCAACGGCACTTTAAGTCATGTGTCTCAAAGGGGAAAAATGTATCAAAATTAAAAAAATTACATTCAACCATGCTACTTACTAGTCTACATGCTGCTTTAGAAAAGAAAATGTATAGATTCCCTGGGAATCTGGTGAAATTACTATGGAAATTACTGCTTACACATAACACCGCATAAAGTTTCAGGAATTTTTCCTGAAGTTTCCCTGGTTTCCAAGGTTTCTCGGAGGCTGTAAATTCCCAGGGAAAAAATAGACTAGAAAGACTGAAAAAAATACATAGCCCATATTTATGGTTTATAATGTATAGCTTAGAATGGAAGGAACTGTGAATGAAGTAAATGTAGCATTCTACCTGCTAATGCTACTGCTAATAACTGCTAATGACATGCTAACCAGATAAATTGCGTTCTTTAGTCATCAAAAGTGAAAGGAAAGTTAAACAGCACAACTAGCTCAGTATGATTTCTCAGATTTAATTACAGTTTTTTCTCTGATTAGCTATGTCTTGGTTAAGCTTCTTTGCCCCCTCTTTCTTCTATTTATGCCCTTATCGGTAGAATGGAGATAAACAACCCTTACCTCAGACTGGGCTTGTGGGAGTAATTGTGTTCATTATGTAAAGCAATTGGAACAGTAACTGGTATGGGTTGTTGAGCAACAAAGGCTAATTATTATTAGCCTTGAGTATCCTTCATTGTTTCTAGTCATCTTGTAAGAGATCTTACAGAAATATTTTGAACATAACTTTCTTTGTCACTGCTATAAATATTGACTATTTGATTGAGTTGTATCTATAGATGGTATGCATCTTAACCAATCATAAACAGGTTTCCATGGGCTATATTCAAACATTGTTTTATATGGCTTAGTATTTAATTCAAAATGTAAGTAAATTTTAATCAGATGTTATCTTTAAAAAAATTAAAGGATGGGGCTAGAGGGGTCATACAGTGGGTAGGGTGTTTGCCTTGCTTGAGTCGACCAGGGTTTGATCTCTGGCATCCCATATGGCTCCAGAACACCGTAAGGAGTAATTCCTAAGTGCAGAGTCAGGAGTAGCCCCTGGCATTGTCGGGTGTGACCCAAGAAGTAAAAAATAAATAAATATATCTAAAAATCCAGATCAAGTTTCTTTTAAAACGTAAAGATTTATCAGCATTGGAATAGTTTCTTACATAAAAATTATTCTGATTCAAAGAAGGTTAAATTTATTCAGTTGAGTTTATTTGTTGTGATATTTTCTAAAGTCCATTTTGGATTTAACTCCTCTCTCTTTTCATGTATTCAGAATTACTGCTGTAGGAATTCTTTTATTTCAAATCACTTATTTTCTCCTTTTGATCATTCCATTAGTTTAAAATCGACTGATACAATAGAAAAAATGATTTATTTAAGGGGCCAGAGAAAATACAGCAGTTAGGGTGCTTGATTTATTCATGCTGACCAGGGTTTGATCCCAGGAGTGATCTGAGCTTAGAGCCAGGAGTAAGCCCTGAGCACTCCCATATGTGGCCTCAAAACAAAAACCACAAATAAAAAAATTTAGTTGAGCTTAACAAGTTTTCTTGGTATTTTTCAGTTTATTTTCCCCCTTTCTTAGAATCAAGAGATATATTTCCCACCTTCTTCAGAAGCAAACATTAATTTTATAAAATATGATTATCTAATCAAAGACAAAAGATTCTCCACACTGAACCACCAACACTGAAAGTATTATTTTTTAAATGAGATATTAGGATATAAACTTTATTCTCTTCTTCTTCTTCTTCTTCTTCTTCTTCCTCCTCCTCCTCCTCCTCTTCCTTCTTCCTCCTTCCTCCTCCTTCCTCCTCTTCCTCTTCCTCTTCCCCTTCCCCCTCCCCTTCCCCTTCTCCTTCTCCTTCTCCTTCTCCTTCTTCTTCTTTTTTTTTTGTTGTTGTTTTTTGGGTCACACCTGGTGATGCTCAGGGGTTACTCCTGCCTTTACACTAAGGAATTACTCCTGGCAATGCTTGGGGGACCATCTGGGATGCTGGGAATCAAAACCAGGTCAACCGTGTGCAAGGTAAACGCCCTCACCACCGTACTATCACTCCAGCCCCCTTATTCTCTATTTCAAGATAAAATTTTATCTTTTAAATTATTTAAATTAAAAAATTTTTTTTGGTGGAGGCAACCCAGCAATACTCAAGAGTTACTCTGGCTTGAGGACCATATAGTATGCCAGGGATTGAAACTGGGTTGACTGTATGCAAGGCAAATAATGCCCTACCTGTCTGCTGTACCCTGCTTGCTCTGGACCTTCAAGATAAAATTTTAAAAACAAAAACTATCATATGCATTTTCAATAATCTGAGAAGGATTTAAATCAATAACTAGAAATTTTGACATTTAAAAAGAATTCCTGTCACTGATTCTGTAATAACCACATGTTAATTTTTAGAAAATCTCAGTGCCTGAAGATGATGAGACTGTCCTATTTTGGTGTACATATAATTTATGCTTGGAAAAAAAGAGTATCAAGCTAATTTGACTTTCTTTTCAATAACTGAATTACATGTGCCTGAGATAGCATGGATAAGAGAATATATTCTATTCTAAGGTCCCACCAGTATATTTCATGGACATACTAAAGATACAATAGCACGGATTTTTCCTCTCTATTCCAGGGATAATTTTTCTTATTAATTGGTCTTCCAGCATTTTAAGTACTTATAGTGCTCTTTCCCATATTATAGTAACATTTAATCTTTTTCCCCACTTTAGCACCGGTTAATAATAATCACAATCTAATCACACCAGGCCAAGCTGTTTGAGAATAAAATGAGATAATGCATATTTTAAAAGTCTCTAATTTAATTTTGATTTGTGAGTTTCATTAGAATTATAAAAATGTTATTTAAAAAAATTCACTATGCCTGGATTATAAATCACAGGAGACCAAAAACAATTACATAGATAAGTGAAGGTTAAGTAATAAAAGGCACAATAAACAATTTAACAAAATTTTAAAATTATATAATTCCTTTAAAATTTTTTTAATTATATAATTTTCTTTAAAATTATATAATTTCAATATTATCTACTTATGCTCAGACTGTATGCTTTACAATAGTTACACTGTTTAATAATAACACTATACGACTTCTACTACTTGATAGTTTTTGTAGTATTACTGACTATAAACTGTAGTCTGTGTGTGTGCCAAGAAAGGTTTTATTTAAGTGGAAGAAGCTTGCTCTTCAAGCCTGTGTTCTCATTTGAACACTGTGTTCTCACTTGCTTGATTCAGTTTCTTTGCCTGCTTATTTCCACTTTTTTTTTCTTTTTGGGTTACACACAGCGATGCTCAGGGGTTACTTCTGGCTCTGCACTCAGGAATTACTCCTGGCGGTGCTCGGGGGACCATATGGGATGCTGGGGTCGAACCTGGGTCGGCCGAATGCAAGGCAAACAAATGCCCTACCTACTGTGATATCACTCCAGCCCCAGCTTATTTCCACTTTGAACAAGCCTGTGTTCTCCCTTGAATACACACTTTTCCCTCTTTCTCCCCTGACATCTTTCTGAGTAAGTTTCAATAAAAACTATCCTGCTTCACCAAAAATAGATAAAGTGGAAGAAAGAAGAGAAGAGAATTTAGAAAAAAGAAGTAATTGCAATAGAGGTAGCAGCAGCAGTGGTCTGCTAAAATATTTGTTATCTGAACCTTTAAGAGAAAAAAGTTACAACCCTGGCTTTAGGGTATTTATGTACAAGGTCATAAATGATCAACCAAAGTCTTCTTACCTGTCCAAGTATTTGTGAAAGGGAAGTCTTAACTGTCACCTAGGAAAAAACAATAATTAAGAAAAGGTTACTTTCTCTAAACTCATTCTAGTTAATATTTTATGAAATGAAGCACTTTTGAGTATTTCGAAGCATAATCATTAATCTTTGTATAATGATAAACATAAAAGCACTCAAGGTATTAAGATGCTCTGAACTTCCAACATTTTCTAATTTAAACTGTTTAGAATATTTTCCATAGTCTAAATCATTGACAGATAAACCTCATTATGGTAAATGAAGTATGACTTTACTAACTAGAATATATAATTAACAGTATCTTATTATTGGACCACACAAGTTAAAAGGATTTATTGACTGCATCCAGGAGCTATATTTGCTGAAAAAGTAACCACATTAATCAACCTAAAGATGTGATATAAATAGTACTTTAGATTCTCACACCTACAACTGTACAGCAATAAACGTAATTAGGCTAAATATCTGAGTAAAGTTCATAAAAATAGATACCATATTATTTGGACAAATAAAAAGCATTTACTAAAACTAAAGCCAAAACTATAATTTAAAAAGAAATAATTATTTCCATCATAAATACATTTTTAAATATGGGCAGTCTGGGAAAAGTAAACAGTTTATAGGGAAGTTATAAACTAAGTTTTGTCAAAGTATGGACATTGTGAAAATTATAAAGTAGCTGTAAAAAGAGGGATTTTTTGAGAGCAGTTAGTACTCAAAGTCAAATTATTAACACAATTCTTAACATGTCAGTAATATTAAATATTAAAAAACTATAGCCGCAAAAATTACATGAAAAAATTATAGCTGCAAAATCTCTCAATGTTATAAACAGAAAATAAGACATAAAATAACTTATATGTTTTACGTAATATAAAATAACATAACATAGGTCTAACTGAAATTTGGTTGCAGAAAACAGATGGTTTTATTCATTTGAGCTAACATTTCTAGTTAAACTGGAAAATTCATCCTAAGAAGCTAAATGTTAAAGCTTAGTTCAAGGGAGTTGACATTTCACTAAATGAGAAATGAGCATTGAAAAGTATATTCTTCAGCTGCTTAAATCTATAATATTTAGAACCTGACATGTTCTGATACACTTTTACTTATAGATTCACAAGTAAACAAACGTTATTCTTGAGTCTACTATTCCTCTCTTAACATAAAATGATTTGTGACTATATAAAATAAATAGGCACTGAATCACACATATTACTAACTACTAGAGTTTAAAATAATTAGTGAAAAGGAAAGAAGATACTTAAGTTTATCCTGTAAAGTTGAAAACTAATATATATCATCCCAAGTACTTCAATAAAGTCAAACCAGTCGATTTCATGATGTTCTTTAATTTATAGTAAATTCTGGACTTTAGGTTTCTAGTTTTAGAAGGTTAACATACACTCTCAATTTCTATTTCACTTTGTACTATTTAAGAGTGTGCATACTTGGGGCTGGCGTGATAGCACAGCAGGTAGGGCATTTGCCTTGCACGCGGCCAACCTGGGTTCGATTCCCAGCATCCCATATGGTCCACCGAGCACTGCCAGGAGTAATTCCTGAGTGTAGAGCCAGGAGTAAGCCCTGTGCATCGCTGGGTGTGACCCAGAAAGGAAAAAAAAAAAAGAAGAATGTGCATACTTTCAATGGTTCATCTATGGGAGTACTGCTGTTCAGCTAAGCTGCTGTTTAATGGGCAAAAATAGAGAATATTAAAGTACTAAAAATATCTTTTCTAAATATTGGTTACCATAAACAATTTATTTTAGGTTAACAAAAATATATTGCCAACTTCTTCTATAACTAAATCTTAAAAATTAGGCAAACTAATAACTTACCTCATACTCACAGTCCGATGAGGTATACATTTTTAATAATGCAGTATGGCTGTCATTATCTGGTTGAGCAATATGAAGTTTCAAAGAGATTTCTGTGTTAGATGGAACCCTGAAGAGATAATTTAGGTATTAAATCTCAAACACAAAATGCTATTAAATGACCTCAGGACAATACAATTTCATAGTTTAGAGGCAGTTAACTAATTCAATACATCATTACTAATGGACACATTTCTAATCCCATCAGCTTCATTGCCCACTTTGTTGCCATAGGGAAGTTGGGGGAGGGTGAAAACGGGTGTATGTTTCAAAAACGTAAAGTTTAAATTCTATATCATTAAAATAAAAATACTATCAGTATATTTTCATATGGACACGAAACTATATAAAGAATACCAACATTTTATTAAGAGGCATCTAAATATTTTACTAAAAGTTCACTGAGATTTACTAAGCGTTTGTCTTGCATGAAAACTGACCAGATTTGATCCCAAGTACCACAAGAACCTCTAACCATCACAGAGGTTACTCCTGAGCACAGTGCTTGGAGAAGCTCCTGAGCACCTCCAGGTGTGGCCCAAACTCCCATCCCTGCAAAAACCCACTAAGTGTTTAGGTAAATTTTATACTTACTGTGCAATAGTCAGTGAATCTTCATAAGACCAGGGAATATGAACTTTATAGATACTAGTTATTTCTTCTGAGAAAACAAGAAGCAACTATATATTACTATAACATAAATTATACATGCGATTATAATACATAACTAATTATATAATTTCCCAGTTTATAAAAAAAAAATCAGTAAGAGAGTATCATCTTGAGAAGTGAAAACCGAGAGGCTGTGTTGAAGTGAGGTAGGGGAGGACCCTGAGACAATGGTGGCTGAGAGAAATGAAACTATGCAGTGTGCAGTATTGAAATGTGCAGTATTGAAATGCTATCTTTATGAAACCCTATTATTGGCAGTACTGTAAAATTGTAAATCATGGTGACCAAAGCTTTTTTAAAAATCAGTAAACTATATCATGTAACAAAACTATGGAGAATTTTAAAATGTCTCATTAGATTTAAACAAGATGTAAAAATATATGTGATTTACTGAGAAACTGGTAAATATAGCTAAATCTATATTACACATAGCTAAATCTATATTACAACTACAATAACAGACTACTTTTAAAAATATTAAACAAAAACATGAAAATAATTGTTGCTAAGATAAAGTCTAGGTTAAATATGTTGAGAATATAAATTTCTCTTCTATGATCATATATTAATTTTATTTCACATAAAATACACATAGAAGCATTTTAGAAAATTCTAGTGAAGTCATATTGAGTATTCATATATTTATACTTACTTTTGATTCCTGAACATTTGCTTATTACGTTGATTTTAAAAGCTTGATATATCTAGTAGAATTGAACACAAAAATAAAATGCAAATATTTGTTTATTGAACTAAATAGTAAAAGTTAAATTCTTGTTATGGTCAGAATAATAATTACCTGTCCAAAGTTCAGAAGCTCTATATTATAGAACAGTCCACTTGTATTTAATACAACTTTCCTTGAAAACAATCCTGTTGAATTAAAAGTACTCCATTACTAGGTGAGTAGATAAAGAAGCTGTGATATATAACGCACAACAGAATACTCAGCTACAATTAAGGTACTGGAAGGATTATGTTCAGTGAAAAAAGTTAAAAAGAGAAAGACAAATATCAGGTGAACTCAATTTTATGTGGTATATACTAAACTTGACCTCAGTCAAAAGGCAAAAAAGATATACATATAGTATTTAAAAAGGGGGGGGGGCAGAGGTATGTCTCAATGAGCTGAGTGTGTGCTTTGCATACAGAAGTCCCATGTTTGATTCCTGGCCCCAAAGGGTCGCTGGAGCACCACCAGGAGAAATTCCCAAACACAGAGCTAGGAGTAGCCACTGAGCACTGCTAGGTGTGGTCCCCAAACCGCCCCCCCAACCCACAAAAAAAGCAAGCAAGCAAGGAAACAGACAATGCTTAACTAAATTGTTTAGACTCCGACCACAGAATTGAGGTTATCAAGGGAAGGAGATGGAGACAGGGCTGAAACATTCTTATGTACTACTACTCAGGCCCTTTAGTAAAACTGATCAGCAGAAATAAATAAATAAATAAATAAATAAACAAACACCTACTAAAATGTATAAATTAATAGCATTATTTCAAAACTACTTTCTTTAGTTTTGACAATTGTATTGTTTATGTTAAGTGGTTAATATAATAATTAAGGGAGTGAAGGCTATTTATTAGCTTTGTATGCTTCCTCTCACTTTTCTGTATATATACATTTCAAAATAAAAATGTAAAGACTATATTGTGTGAATACTTGATAGTTTTATTGTGGTCATCACAATAAAAAGTGGAAAAAGTATTTAAAAAAAATCCCTCCCTACTCTCACCGACCCACTTGTCCAGGATTGAACTCAGGGGTCCTCACACATGAAAGGTAAGTGCTCCACCTCTGAGCTACATTCATGGTGCCCATTAGGGAAATCCTGAAACCCCATGTGCACTTAGAAATTGATAACTTACAGTACAAACTTACACTAATGTTTATACAGTTACTCACGGTAACTACATGTAGCACTGCACTGTAGCACTGTCCTCCCACTGTTCATCGATTTGCTCCAGTGGGTGCCAGTAACATCTCCATTGTGAGACTTGTTGTTACTGTTTTTGGCACATCAAATACATCACAGGTAACTTTTCAGGCTTTGCCATGCAGGTGGGATATTCCTGGTAGCTGCTGGACTCTCTGAGAGGGGTGGAGGAATCGAACCTGGGTCGGCCCTGTGCAAGGCAAACACCCTTCCTGCTATGCTATTGCTCCAGCTCAACTATATGTAACCATGGAGAAATTTAAGTTTGCTTCCCAGAAATAACTAATGGTGTATCTTTGTTTTATTTTAATTACTTTTTAGTTTTGGGGTCACAATTGTGGTGCTCAGGAATTACTCTCTATAGTTAATAGTACAGTCACTCTGAGCAATGGTCTAGAGACCATGCAGAGCCAGGGATCAAACTGAAGCCTCCTGCATGCAAAGTATGCACAACAGCCAGAATTAAGAACACTGTACGGTTATTCTAGAACTACATTTGAAAATACAAGGCTGCAAAGTTTTGCTTTATAACAACAGGTAAAACAAATTACAATTTTTTTAAAAAAAAAGTAACTTATAACATTTCAAAAATCTGAGTACTCACCAAAGGAAAAAAGATGAGTTACAGGAAGCTGTATGGATCTTGTCTCTTTTTTAAAGAATTCACAATCTACAACAAACTGCAATATAAAAACACTACCTTATTATTATTTTACAGAATAAAGATTGGAAGAGAAATGGCAGACTTGATACTTTCCCCCTTAGTCAAATACACAATTAGTCACAATTTAAGTGATAAAGATCCAAAAAGTTGTGATAATTCCAAAATTTGCCAAAACATTTTTGAATATATATGAATATTTTTCTCAAAAGAGAAAGGTCACAGTATGATCACATGATGTTAATAAGATTAGAAACACTGCATATTTAAATGTCAGTTAAGAAATATAAAACTCAACTTGCTCTTCAAGCCCTTGTTCTTTCTTGAACACATATCACTTGCTTGCCTCTATGTTTCTTCCCTTGCTTATTTCCACTCTGGAGAAGCCTGAGTTCTCTCTCAGACATGTACTTCTCTCTATCTCTCCTCTCACATTTTTCTAAATAAGCTTCAATAAAAAACAGCTTGCTTCACACACACAGTATGTGTGTGTATGTTTATATATGTATGTATATCTCATATAAAATATGAAGAATGCCCATTTAACCTTACTCAAATTCCCCAATTATTACATATGTAATTCTGAAATATAGATATACATACCTGGTTATGAATTATAGACAATTATAGACAATTCATAAGAGTGGATAAGTTAAAAATTTTTATTAATAAGTTTAACTTACTTTAACAGATAAATTATTAGGGGGTCACATAATTTGTAAAACAACACATCTATAGTAAAGTTGTTTTTTATTTGGGTTTCTGGGTCACAGCTGACAGTGCTTCTGGTTAAGTCTTTACAAAGAGTTTTCTGCATCTTGAGACTTCTAGTAAATAATCCTTTGGGAATGAGAGGGGGCTACAGCACAAGTCGAGCCATGCTATGGGCAACCAGGGACACATCTGTGATGCTGGAGGTATGAGTCAAAAATTAAAATTAAAAATTTGTCTTTTAAAGCATTTAGTGGTAGTTAACTAAAGTTTCAGAGTACAAAGTAGAACAAAAAACTCCTTTTTATTCCTAGACTCAAAGAATTTAGAACATTGTGATGACAATAAAGATACAAATAAATAAATTATAACTGAGTATAGTAAATTTATCAAAGTTATAAACAAAGTATTATTGGAGTAAGTACAAGATCACCTGAGTTTCCTGGAAATCAGGGGACATACAGGCTCAAGCTATTTTTTTAGGCTTAATTTTGAATATTAAATTTGTTGGGTGAACTACAGAAAGCAGATAAGGTATTTTTTTTAGAAGATTACATTTATTCTCTCATTAATCAAAATCGTTGTCAAATACTTTTTTTCAATAAAGTTTTTATTTAATTATTTATTTATTGTTATTTTTTTATTAGTGAAACACCACGAGATACAGTTATAGACTTACAAATTTTTGTGCTTGGGTTTCAGTTATACAATGATCAAGTACCCATCCCTCCACCAGCGCCCATCTTCCACCACCACAGGTCCCAGCATCCCTCCCACACCCTATCCCCCCCATCCCACCCTGCCTCTGTGGCAGGGCATTCCCTTTTGTTCTCTCTCTCTCCTTTTGGGTTCTGTGGTTTGCAAGAGACGCACTGAGTTTGGTGTTGGTCTATGAGTCAAATGTTTGGTCTATAGTCTACTTTCAGCATGAAAGCAGATAAGGTATTACCTTCACTTTTTCCTTTACCCTAACTTTTCTAAAAATTCAGCATTCTTTATTTCCACTTGCTTAGTACAAGACCTAAGACCTCCTTATAAAGTGTTTTTCAGCCATCATACACCATAATTAGATTCATCTTACAAAAATAAATTGCTCTGATCTGTCTTAAAAATAAAATTTTAAGATCTTACTGGCGTGACTTAATAATTCATGAGTTGGGTAGCAGAAGAGATCAGTGAGGCTATGTAAAATGACTTTTGCAGGCAGAAGTCGATTGGGAATAAGGAAGTTACAATTTTTAAAAAAAAGTCACCTCTTCCCTTGTATGGATGAGGTTCTGTGAGGCAGGTTAATTAACTAAAGCTAGCCAACCGACTTATGAATGACTGGTGAGATTCCATCTCTGCAAGAGGCAGAAAATGGGATTATGTCTCAATTTGAAGACAGTTTTTAGTGACTCTGTTTCAGCCTGCTTTCCTTTTTAACAAATTCCATGACAACTATGTTGAAAAATCTTTTAGCTCCCGAGAAACTCCTGAAAATTAAAGTTTCCAAACAATGTCTTTCATAATAGGTCCATGAACTTACTTTTCTAGACTTTTCTTCCAGACTATCAATTTATTCATGCTGTTCATTCTTTTCAAATTGTTATTTACTTATTTACAATTTTTCAAATATTCTGTGCACTTTCCTACGTCTACCATTGCTCTCACTCTTTCTTTGTCTCAACAGTGTTTATTATAACATTCTACAGTGATATTACTATTGACCATCTAGTGATGTGGATAATTCAACTAAAGAATTGAATTTTAAGTGCGATTACTTTTAACAACTTAAAAATCAAATAGTCACTTGTGCTAGTAGCTCCTGTATTGAACTAGTTCATCAACAAGGTCTAGTTCATTCTATCTATAAAAACTCCTTTTTTGTTTTTGGAGGGGTGGGGTGGGGTTGGGGGGCCACACCTGTCATTGTGTAGGTCTTACTCCTGGCTTTGTACTTAAGGATTACTCCTGGCAACCTCAGAGGACTACATGAGGCAACTGAATCCAAGTCAGTCAAGGTATTGGATATTAACACTAAGTGCTTTAGGCTTTATCTGTGAATTTCCCCTTTCTCCTACCCCAGAGAAATCTACAGTGCTCTTGTTTGCATCCCTAATCCCCCAAGTTTATCTTTAACCTTTCCTTGGTGCTAAACCTCTCATTGTTACATTCTCCAAGTCAGTCTTGGTTACTTAAAATTTAGTTAAGTCAAAACTTTTGGAGATCCTGGACTTTATATTTGTAGTGAATTACTTGCTTGTCTATTTCTCCTATAGCCTTTCGTATTTTATTATAGAGCAATGTTCTTGTGTTAAACACAGAAAAGACCATTAATACTAAGCTTCTAATATTTGGAAGTTGATTGACTCTGAAATATATCTACTCTTGGGTATCCATCATAATTACTTGACTCAGGCTTCCGTTGCCGTAGTTCCTAACACCCCATAAAGAGAGGTCCTGCTGTGGGACTGGGATGGACCAAAGGCGAGCAGGGAAGCTACCTGGTATCAAAATGAGACACTCTAGAAAGTATAAAAGTATAATCTTGATGCAAGCTGTTATAATTTAAGAGACAGGACTCCCACGGAGAAGGAAGGGCTAAACCGGCCTCAGGACCTGGTTTGTGATTTACAGGGAAAGCTCTGCTTGCCCTAAGAGTCCAGAGAACTAAGTTTTGGAATCTATCTCTTACTTTGTTTATTCAAACAACTGCAGGTATTAAGTTGCAAGGGAAGGAGAAAAGCAATATATATGTCCCTGGGAGACAGAATATCTCCTTGAGTTAATCCCCCTGAGAACTGCCTGTATTGAAACGCTTTACCTCTGTAAACGATCTACATGAAGTCCTATACCTTGAACGCCCTCAGATGTTCTGTAAGTATGTTAACAGATCTGCCTTAAACGGGCCATTTTGCCCATCAATCTGTGGTCCTCTGTCTCTTTGTTCTTCTGCTGGGGAGGCCACCAGAGGAGGTGACTCTCGACCAAGGAATGCATGCACCTGTCAGGTACCCACCCCTTGAAGTTGCACAAGGCAAGTGCCCTATTTGATGTACTATTGCTCCAAACCCTTAATTATCTTTTAAGGCAGTTTAAAACATAACCTAGTGATAAAGCCTTATTTTTCAAGTTTAAAAAATGTTTATATAGTAGCTTTCGCATTGTCTTTTCCCTGAGCTGTTGCAATGCTGAGTTGTCACATATATGGATGGATGTAATATTTATGTACTCTGAATTGCTCTGCTTGTAAAGGAATGTGTATTTGGCTGTGTTACTTGTGCATGTTAGTTTTGGTGCATGAGAGATTACACATTTTGGTGTGGCACCAGAAACCACACATAACAGCACTTTTGGAACAGAACTCTACCATCTGGGGGTGGTACACGATCTCAGGTTTGCAGCCTCATGCCTGTAGAGTAGGCACTCAACAACTGAGCTTACTTGATGCCAATAAAGCCATTCTTCATCACCGTCATCAGAATTATTTGCCCCTTTTATACTTTTTTATATATTTAGTGTATTCTGATTTGTTATATTTCTTTTGGGGGGGAGGGGGTCACACCTGGCGATGCACAGGGGTTACTCCTGGCTCTGCACTCAGGAATTACCCCTGGCGGTGCTCAGGGGATCATATGGGATGCTGGGAATCGAACCCAGGTCGGCCAGGTGCAAGGTAAACGCCCTACCCGCTGTGCTATTGCTCTAGCCCCCTGTAATATATATTTCTGGGTATCTATTTTATTTTCATTCTTCCCCTTGCTTTTAAACATACTTCTCTCTCCAAACTAAGGAGTATATAGATTTTTGATAACAGAGGTCACGTTTTCCTGGTCATGAACTGCTTCTTCTAGTAGAGTACTGCACATAAAAGGGCACTTATGTATGTACTAGAGTACTGCACATAAAACATTTTTTTCAAATAATAAAATAGAAATGGTTCTATTTGGAACAGAGACTTGAATATACTGCTTAGTTTAAATTAGAAGGGTTGATTCTAATCAATTAATAGTTAAATGGAATACCCACTGGTCAAAACAAACACTGTCCTCCCGTTGTTCATCGATTTTTTGCTCAAGCGGGTCCAGTCACATCTCCATTTTGAGACTTGTTGTTACTGTGTTTGGCATATCGAATATATCACAGGTACCTTGCCAGGCTTTGCCGTGCGGGTGAGATACTCTCGGTAGCTTGCTGGGCTCTCTGAGAGGGGCGGAGGAATCGAACCCAGCTTGAGCCAAGCTGGCTACGCACAAGGCAAACGCACTGGTCACTATTTTAAATAAGCCCTATGCTGAAAAAATTCATTTAAAAAATAATCTAAGCACTTAGCACAAGTACTCTCAAAACATTCTGATAACAACCTTAATCATCTGTTACCTTACTTCCATGGACAGATGGCACATAAACAACAAGATGAGACAAAGATGGATAGTCTTGAAGTCTTAATGTCAGAGACTGAAAAAAAAAAAGAAAACGATGATTTTACTTTTTAAGGTACAAGGAGCTTAAAGCATGCTAAAAGATAAACTACAAATAGTAATTCATAAAAATTATCACAAACTTTATATTCAGTAATACATAAAGTGCTATTTACATTTTGAGTTTAACAATCCTGCTTAAAGTTAAATTTCTAAAATTATATAAATATAGACTAGGAAAAAATCTCTTAAATTATGCATGCAAAACAACTGATATTTAACACTAAAGTTAATTATATTATTTTTACTATCATTATTATTATTATTATTATTATTATTTTGGTTTTGGGGCCACATCAGTGGTATTCAGAGGCTACTGCGTCCTTGATGCTTAGGGCCTGTCGCTAGAGTGCTCAGGGGACTATACAGTGCTGGGAACTGCATGCTAGCAGCCTCTTTCATGCAAAGCATGCGTATTGTCTGTTGAGCTGTCTCTGAGGACCAAAAGTAATTAATTTATGTAACTATTTCTGAATATGGTTCTTTTATTCTTATAATTTGTCTCTTTGTACAATGTTACAATACTATTTATTTCTACATTTATTTTAGTAGTACTAGACAAGAAGTAGTCAACAGCTGATGAACAAATGGTACCTATCTTTGATAGAAAAGTTGCAAATTAAATGACTCTGATATACTGTAAAGTAAAGTTTAATGGCTGGTAAAGTACATAAACATTATGCCTTGGAACTTAGTAAATGACATGAAGACAAAGATAATAATACATTTCACCAAATGAATTTTCATCTCAAAGTTAAGGCCAGTATCTATATTTTAGGAATGAATAAACAGAAATTCGTCTATAAAATACAAATGAAAGGAACTAAATAGTTTTAAAATTCAGTTTTTCCTGAAAGTAGCGCTATCCTCCTGTTGTTCATCGATTTGCTTGAGCAAGCACCAGTAACGTCTCACAACAAATTGTGAGAGTTGTTGTTACTGTGTTTGGCATATTGAATACGTCACGGGTAGCTTGCCAGGCTTTGCCATGCGGGAAAGATACTCTCAGTAGCTTGCCGGGCTCTCCCAGAGGGGCCGAACACAGGTCAGTCCGGCTGGCCTTGTGCAAGGCAAACGCCCTACCCACTATGCTACATGGGAGCAACTATATATTATAATAATTTGTGTGCATTTAAGAATTTCTGCAATTTCCCCCATTCTTCTTTAGAAGCATGTATATGAACAAGAAGGACAACAGCGCTCAAGCTAAAAATCAAAGAGGAGCTAGAGTGATAGTACAGCAGTGAGGGTGATTGCTCCCATGCTGTTGACCCAGGTCCTACTCCTGGCACGACATATAGATCCCCGAGCCTGTCAGGAATAATCCCTGAGTGCAGAGCAAGGAGTAATCCTGAGCATCACTGAGTCTGGCTCCCAAACCCAAAAAAGAAACAACAAAAAAAACAGTCAAAGAGAGTCTCTCTATAGCCTGATTAGATTCACTTGGGGGTGTTTATTAAACACAAATAGGAACAAAGTAACATTTTATCAGATTTACAATAATTTATTTCTAGCTCTTAAATCAAAATTAAAACTCTAGGAAATATTTCACAAAATATTATAAAGAACTGGTAAAGTATATTTTAATATTTTTGTTTTGCTTCTGCATGGAAGGTTAAGATAGAATCAGTGACTTTGGTTTTTAAATGATATTGCATTTTTTTATTGAAGTTCTGTGATTTACAATACTGCCTGGTAGGTTTCCCATGCACATAATTCCAATACCACATCCATCACCAGTATACCTACTTCCCTCTCCTGGGGTCCCCAAAACCCTTTCAAATCTCTTCCCCCAACTAACTCAATTCTGTAGAGCAGTTCTCACATATGAGTGAGGTCATTTTATATCTACCCCTTTCTGACAGACTTCACTTGGAATGATACCATCTAGTTCCACCAATGTTATTATAAATCACATGATTTTGTTATTTCTATTTGATTGTGGGTTTTTATTTACTTTTTTTGGCTCTCACCCAATGCTCAGGGGTTATTCCTGGCTCTGTGCTAATGAGTCACTCCTAGTGGTTCTTGGGGGATAATACAGGTGCCAGGGAACAAACCAGGTCCATTGTGTGCAAGCAAATGTCCAACCTGCTGTACTATCACTTTTGTTATTTAATAGGGCTGCATGTATTACACTGTGTATATATACTAAAACTTTGTTTGTCTATTTTCGGGTCCACATCTGCTGTGCTCAGAGCTTACTCCTGGATCTATAGTCAGGAATCATTCCTGGTGGGCTCCGGGTGGTAAACACTGTGCCAGGGATAGAACTCTGGTTAAGTGCATGCAAAACAAATGTCTTACCCACTATCTTTCTTGTCCCTACATCACAATTTATTGATCCATTCATCCATAGTTGGGCATCTGGATTATTTCTATTGTACTAAGTGTGCACATATCCTTTCAAATTAATGTTTATGTGTTTTGAGGATAGATGCCAATAGAACTCCCATATGACCCATATGACCCATAATTATGGGTGAGATGATGTTTCAGTGTAGTTTTGATCTGCATTTTCCTAATCATGAGTAATGATAGGTACTCTTCATATGTGTATTGGCATTCACATGTCTTCTTTGGGAAAGTGTTTAGAATAAGTGACTTTAAAAATGTTCATATGAGTTAAATTCCTTCCTTATAATCTTTTTTAAAAAATACAAAACAGTATTAATGAAAATGCAGAGAATAAAATTAACCAAGGTGATATAAGTGCAACTATGCATTGCAATTAGTCCCCTCTGCTAGCATGTTAAGTTCGTTTTCTCATTGCAGGCTCTCACTCCAAATATGAATTCTGAATATACAACTCTAATTTAAGACAAATCATTCCAAACATATTTCAAATTTAATTAAAAAAATTCATTGATCTCTAGAAATAACATATAGACTTAATTTTGTTGAGTATTATCAACATGATTTTATATCTAAAGATAAAAGCAATGCATATTTTCTCTATTAATGCACTTCTATAAAAAGTACTTTTAAATGTATGTTATCAAATCTCATTTAATACCTAGATAAATACAAAAAAAAAATTCTAGGGAGCTGGAGCGATAGCAAAGCTGGTTGGGCATTTGCCTTGCACACAGTGAACCCGGGTTCGATTCCCAACATCCTATAGGGTCCCCTGAGCACCGCCAGGGATAATTCCTGAGTGCAGAGCCAAGAGTGATCCCTGTGCATTGCTGGGTGTGACCCCAAAAAAACAAAACAAACAAAAATTCTAAAATGTGTATTAGCTTAAGCATTTTTCACCTGAATATTAAAATATAAAGCATACATTACCTTAATTGTTGGCAGCAATTCAGTTTTCCATGATAAATCAACCCCTTGCTGACTTTGAAATAAGAAAACACAATTAGTGGATAAATACATTAAAGTTTAAAAAAATAATAAGATTAAGACTTAATCTTATTTACAAATTCCATTCATTCACCTATCAGAGTTGTAAAGAACGAACTTAAACAAGTCTAATTCAATATACTCTATTCACATTTTTCCTTTAGGAACAAAAAGATTCTTTTTTATTATAACCAGCTATTTCAATGCCTGCGAAAATTACTAGTATGTTAATTGACTTTACTTTTCATTTAAAAATTAGTGACAATATTCGTAGCTGTAAAACAAACTTTGAAATGTATTAATTTGGTGGGAGGGGGACAGCACTGCAGCTCAATACTGCATGAGTGTATGCCTCATGTATGTGAGGCTCTCGGTTCAATCCCTGGCAGCACAAAATGTTTAAGAATGTAAAGCACTATTTTCAAAGTATAGAGTTTGGAGAGACAGTACAGTGAGTAGGGTGCTTACCTTGTACACAGCCAACCTAGGTTCAAATGCCAGCACCCAGTATGATTCCCAAACTCCACAAGTGTGCTCCCTGAGCACAGGGCCAGGAGTAAGCCTGGAGCACAGCTGAGTAAGTCAATCCCCATTCCCATCAAAAAAATATATATGGGAGCCAAAGGGATAGTTCAGAGCTTAAGATGCTTGTCATATAAGCAGCTGACTCCAGTTTGATCTCCAGCACAACACGATTCCAGATCACTACTGGAAGTTATCCCTGAGTTATCACTACTGGCCGGCCCATATACACCCCCCCAAAAGTGTAATCTGTGTGTACTGTTGGAAAAAATGGACAACGAAATGCCTCATGTAAAACAGACTTACCACATAGAAGAACTGTTTATGCAGCCAAAAATCCAACTATTTGTATCCTATTAATGATACAAAGCAAAATATACTATGTATTATCAAAAATAAATATAAAACTAGGTATTTGGGGAGCAAGGGGTATGGTTTCGTGGTACAGCACAAGCTTTAAGTATATGAGGGCCAACGTTTCAGTCCCATCACTACAAAAACTTCATGAAAAGGTACTTTTAGCATTTACAATCACGTGTGTTCAGTCCAATGGAAACAGGTCAGTTGGTAATTTAGAGTAGGTATTTCTCCATTGCACAATGTCCGAACAATTCTGACATTCAGAATCTGAAACCAATCATTTTTTAATTGGGTCACAGTCACTGTTACCCAATTAGTTTAAATTATAAGGGATGATTTTAATGAATTAATAGTCAAATGGAACACCCACTAGTCAAAACAAACACTTTCCTCCCGTTGTTCATCGATTTTGCTTGAGCGGGCCCAGTAACATCTCCATTTTGAGACTTGTTGTTACTGTGTTTGGCATATTGAATATGTCACGGGGAGCTTGCCAGGCTTTGCCGTGCAGGCGAGATACTGTTGGTAGCTTGTGGGGCTCTCTGAGAGGAGTGGAGGAATCGAACTCGGATTGGCCATGTTGGCCGCTTGCAAGGAAAACACCCTACCCGCTGTGCTATTGCTCCAGCCCTTTAATTGAGTAGTTATAAAATAATTAAGCTACACTTTAACAAAAATAGAAAAAAATAGTGACTTTTTGTACAACCAAAAAAAAAAAAAGATAAATTTTTGTGTTTTAAAAATAATTCAGATAACAGTAACTATATGAATCTAAGAACAGCTTTTTTAGTTTACCATTTGACTTCTCATTTCATTACAAGATACATTGTTTTTATACAAATGGGAATGTGTTTGGGTTGAAACAGAGTTCCAATGACTCATACTTTAGACTGTTGTCATTTATCTGCCATCACAAGATAGCATGATATCTGAACATTATTTACCTTTGGCAATTTAAGAGCAAAAGGGCCAAAGTAATATCTGCATTTCAATATGGTTTATTTTTCAAAAAGTCTGTTCCTGGTTCAGTAACTCTTCATATTTCCATCTTGATATTTGCAAACTGCTTTCTGCTCTAATTTTTATTATTTTTCCTTCTACTTTGGGATTCACTTGTTCTTTTTCTAGTTTCTCAAGCTGTGAGGTTAGGTTCTTTATTTGAGCATTCTCCTGTTTCATGTTGTAGGCCTGTACGGTTTTGTACTTCTATAGTTGTTCTGATAGTCTGTTTTTATTCTCTTAGTTTTTGATTTCCTCTTTGATTCAAGTTATTTAATAGTTTTTAAAGGTTACAAATGTTGAATCTTTCCCCAACTTTCTTTAGTGGTTAATATCTATATTCATGGCATTGTGGTCTAAAACATATTTTATATTTGTATTTTTGTGACTTTATGGCAACTCCTATTTTGCCTCCAACATGTGCTCTAACCCTGGAGAATACTCCATGCACACTGGAGAAGAATGTGTTTTCGACTTTTGAGAGTGGAAGATTCTGTACATGTCGAATAATCTCACTATTTCCATTTCCTCATTTAGGGTTCTTGTTTCTTTACAGATTTCTTTTGTGTGTTTCTAGGCCACACCTGGTGATGCTCAGGAATTACTTCTAAAGGGCTCAGGAAACCATATGGGGTGGTAGGGACTGAACCCAGATAAGCTATGTGTAAGGGCAGTACCCTACCAGCTGTACTATACCTCTGGCCCCCTTACTGATGTTCTATTTGGCTGACCTAACCAATGGTGAGAATGGGATTTTTAAAATTTCACATCCTTATTGTGCTATTATTGATGTATCTCTTCAGGTTATTAGCAATTGCTTTATAAACTTTTCTGTCCCTTCACATGGTACATATATGTTGATAACCCTTAAGTCTTACTGATCTATTGATCCCTTATTGGAAGTTTTACCTATCCTATCTCTTCTTTTTCCTGTAGTATTAATGTATTAAGCCATTTGGTCTGATACAAGTATGACCATCTCTGTTTTTTTGTTTTTTTCTTTTTAAATAGGTTAGGCTGCATGATTGTTTTCCAAACTTTCACTCTGAGCTTTTGTTTTTTATATGAGTTTAAGTGTGTCTCTTATGTAGAAGAAGATTGGATTTTGTTTCCTAATCCATCCAGTCACTCTATTGTCTTTTAATACATTTCATTTCATTGTTAATTTAGAAAAACCATTGATATGAAGGAATCTATTGCCTTTTCTTGAGGATTTTTGTCATCTCTGCCATTTAACATTCTCTTTTTATAAGAGGCCGTTCAGTAATTCCTTGCAGTTGATTTAAATGAAATAAATGTCTTCAGCTGAGTGATAACCTTGCAGGGTAGAAGATTCTCTGATACAGGTTCTTTTCATTAGTATTTTGTTTTTATTAATTAAAATTTTTTTTTAATTTTAGGTACCATGTTGCAAACTGTAATTAGCAGGATTTTATACATGAAATACTGCAGCATCACACTCTCCATAAGAATGTCCACTCTCTAAATCCTCCAACTGCTTGAAAGATTTAATATACACACTGTAGACAGCAGTTAAACAATGGCATAGTTACAGCTCAGGGAAGACTGATGAGTAATTGTAAAATTATGGGTTAGTCAAATGATGGCAATGGGTTTCCCTATGGACCAACTGAGAATGAAAAATATTCAGGAACATTTTTTAACACCTTTAAGCACCTTTAGTAAAGGAAAATGTTCTCGGAAAGTAGTAAGGGATATAGTGAGTGTAACCAAGAGAAATGACAAGAAATGACAGCCTTTAAGTTTGCTATTCTGACTCTAGGCAAACAAGTTTAGTTTAGAAGAGAGTGACTCAATTTCCTCCAAAATGTATAAATAAGTTCTAGATATTTCATTAGGAATTACCAGGGAACTTTCTCTTTTCCTCTATTTTTTTCTATTTTATATCTGGAACAGATATCTTTGATACATCAATAAGAGGAAAGTAGTATGAGGTACTTCAAATTCTTCAGTTGCTCTATCTTCTAGAAATTGTTGACAGCAGGAGCAAACTTGGGTGGATTTCTACAACTGTTTCTCCTCTATGGAATGCCTATTTGGCATGTAATTCTGTGTCACTTCAATCTTACCACTGAACACCGTACACAAAATCTTAAAAGAATATACATAATCAAAAAAAAAAGAATGTCCACTTTCCTTTACCATTATCCCAGTGTTCTTCCCCCCTCACTTCACTGTGCTAAGCTCCTTACTAAAGTCAAATTTTCAGTTTCTATTGCCTTTGGGCATTTGATATTCCCATACATACAATGGTTCTTGATATCCCACATATAAGTTTCTCTTCCTCTCCTAACTTCACTCAGCAAGATACTCTCAAGTTCCATCCAGAAGTGGTTCCTAAGCTCAGAGCTAGGAGTAAGCCCTGAGCACTTTATATGACTCCCAAACAAAAGAAACAATCAAAATCTTTCAATTTAATTCATTTATTTTCACATAGTGTATTAAGATAAAAAGATTTAAAGTCACAGAAAGAAAGGGATAGACATAGAAAGATTGCATTCATCTGTGGACCATAAAGTAACAAAATAGGAGACTAACACCCAAGAATGGCCGAGATTAGTACCAGGAATTTTACTCCATGGCTTGGAGGCCAACCACACATGCTAGGGGAAAAGGGAGCTCAGATAGAGAAGGAAACACCAAATAAAGGTGTTGGGAGGATCCTCCCAGGATGGCAGAAGCATGTTGAAAGTAGACTATAGACCAAACATGATTGTCACCCATTGCCTCTTTTGCAAACCACAACACCCAATAAGAGAGAGAGAACAAAAGGGGATGCCCTGCCATAGAGGCAGGGTGGGAGGGATACTGGGATTCGTGGTGGTGGGAAATGGGCACTGGTGGAGGGATGGGTATTTGATCATTGTATAATTGAAACCCAAGCACAAAAATGTGTATGTCTGCAAAAAAAAGACCTAGAGTCAAAGATATAATTTAATAGTATATTATCAGTTATAGTTAAAACTTTCTAATCAAAATTTTATATCAGATCAAAAATTTCAACTAATTAGATTTGATCATGATTAAACGCAAAGGTAGTATCAATTGGACATTAAATCTGAAAAGTGAACAATTGTTAGTCTTTTAAATTTAGAATGTATCAATTATCTTACCAGCATGGTGCTCTGACAATAGACATGAGTGTAGATTTTTCTATGATTTGCAAGAGGAAATGTAAAATATATCTTATTAGATTCCTAAAAAAAAAAAAGAGGGAAAACACTGTCACAGTGGATCATTCCATCATTTGAAACTTCAGATAAAGAAACAAGTAATTATTCTTATGCTATTATTCTTGGTATTGTTGAAAATGAATATTCTGGAAATAGGTTAAAAGAAAGTACTGGTGAAAAACAAAGACCAGGTCATCTAAAACCTTGAGTAGATGGGACTTGATTTGTTTTAGAAGAATCAGTATGAATGATGTTATTTTTATGTGTTCTGTGATCATCTAGTCTACATAACTACATTTCTTAGATTGGTCCCCCAATTAAGGCCTAGAAATGGTAACCCACTAGTCATAAATATCTTTATTGCCAGATGACTATTTTTGGACTTTGTTTCCCAAATAGTAGAAAGAGTTTCTTAGAGGAAAAAAATTCTAACTCAAGCTCCTGGGTTGAAAATATACAAAATGACAGTATATCTTCTCATACTAGAAAGTAAGAAACTATCAGTGACAACTAAAGAGCTATAAAAAAATATTCAGAAGACTAGCTTGCTATGGCTTCCATTGGTCAAACAGAACAATCTCAATTCTAGGATTAAATATAAAATAACACTAGTATTTTAGTTTGTAAAGAGGCACAAATACTTTTAAATCCATAATACTGGGAGGAACAGAAACCCAAAATGTCTTATGGTCGCTTTGGAAAATTATTGTAAGCAAACTCACTATTCTTATAACCATTCTTATAACCAGTAAATATAAGATCCAAAGATCTAAGCAATTAATTTTTTTTTACCTTTATGACTTGTTCCATTTTTTGACAAATTTAGTAGGTGAGAAGATTTTCTACATAGTGTTCCAGTTAATAAATGAAGAAGGGATAATCAAATTAGAGTATCATCACTTTTGCACCCCCGTTAGTGAATTATGACTAGGCATTCTTCATCATCAGCCACTAACATCACAAAAAAAAGAGAGATTCCAGCAAAAAAATTTAAAAAACAAAAAATCTTGAATGTGCTCTTGAGCACATATCTTAATACTAAGACAAAAATTGATCAAAGGATATGTTGGAAGGTAACACAGATATTCAATTAAAAGGTCAAGATAGAAACTATAAAACTAATGGATTGTTTCTTCCTTAACTAATAACTACAAGAGGAAAGAAGTGAAACAATTACTATAGATTAAAAGAAGAAGAAGAATATCAGCAGAATTGTTTATATCCTGATTTAAGCAATTTGAAAAAACAAACACCAAAAAAAGGACAATTATGGTAAAAATGGAAAATTGAAAACTGAATAAAAATTCATTACTAATGAATTATTAAATTATTTTAATATGAGAAAATGATACAGCTTTAAGATCCTTTTAACTTTTAAAGATAATTAGTAAAATACATTTTTAAGTGAAAAAAACCAGTTGGTGGTATACTTACATTGTAAGCAACATAGGACCATTTGGATACTTCTACTGGAACCCACATAGATGTGCCTAACATAAAGGAAATGAATTTGACTTGGTCTTATTTTAAAAATATTAAACCGTTATTGTTTTGAATGTTGAAATACTTCTCAATCACAGCAAGTATTTTGTTTTTTTTGAGGGGGAGAGGGGGCCACACCCAGTGGTGCTCAGGCCTTATTCTTGGCACTGCACTCAGGGATCACTCTTAATGAGCTTAGGAAATCATACAGGATGCTGGGGATTGAACCCAGTTTGGCCATGTGCAAGAAAAATTCTCTACCTGCTGTACTACTGCTCCAACCTCACAGCAGAATTTTTTTTTAAAAGAAGTTATTTCCTGAACATTAGGTGTTTTAAAACAGAAAATATAGTAAGATGTTTTCTGTAAGTTCATCAATGACTAGCATTCACATCAAGTAAAGCACTTTTTAAAAATTCATCTGATGTACTGGCGCCAAAAAAATCTTTTTTTTTTTTAACTGAATCATTGTGAGATACACAGTTCCAAAGTTATTCATGATTGAGTTTTAGTCATACAATGTTTCAATACGTATTTCCCACCATCAAAGTCCCCACTTTTTCTCCCTTCTCCCCCTTTTCCAGCTCTCTCTCTCTCTCTCTCTCTCTCTCTCTCCCTCTCTTCCCCTCCCCCTCTCCGTCTCCCTCTCCCTCTCACTCTCCATCTCCCTCCCTCCCTCCCTCCCTTTGGGCATTAGAGTTTTGCAATAGAGGTACTGAAAGATTATCATGTTTGTTCCTTTACCTACTTTCAACATTCATGACTTTATTTTTTCTAACAGTGGTACAAAGAAATCTTACCCAAACAAGAAATTACAAGTAAGTGTTGTTACCCACAAGGCTCAACCTTTAACAACATGTTACTAATCTCTTATGGAAGGGCTTAATGGCTCCTGGGTTAAATACAACAATCTTCACATACTTTCCTCTAAGAAACCTTTTTTGGGATCATTTTTAGCAGATTATTCATAACAAGCATAACAAAAATATTATTTCAGGTCTGCTTTGGGTTTGGGGTTCAGGATGGAAACATATGAAATATGGTGGTGGGAAGGTGTAATGATGGTGGCATTGGTTTTTGAACATAAAATGTAATCAAATATTGTGAACAACTTTATAAAAATAAAATAAAAAAGAATGTTACCATTATTTAATAGCAAGATTAACCAATAGAAGGCATGTAATTAAATCACTTAATGATTGATACTGAGAAACTAAGCCAAGAATAATCACTTACTCTATGAGACTAAAAAAAAATAAAACAGTTGGGGCCAAGTAGCTCTATCAATCAATTTTATATTTTTGGGCCAGAAAGATAGCTCAATAGGCAGAGAATCTCATGCGTTGCATGCAGGAGATCTAGGTTTGACTCGGCATTACATGGTCTCCTGAGCACAGCTAGGAGTCATACCTGAAATTTGAGCCAGGAGCTGCCCCTGAGAACTAGTGGGTGTGGCCTGGACACCTTCTCTACATTTAAAAATAAAGTAAAATACATTTTCTAGTTAATAAGTTACTTTCAGGACAACTTTTATTTATTTATTTATTTATTTTTATTATTTTTTTTTATTAGTGAAACACCATGAGGTACAGTTATAGACTTATAAATTTTTGCGCTTGGGTTTCAGTTATACAATGATCAAGTACCCATCCCTCCACCAGTGCCCATCCTCTACCACCACGGGTCCCAGCATCCCCACCACCCCTCATCCCCCCCCATCCCACCCTGCCTCTGTGGCAGGGCATTCCCCCTTGTTCTTTCTCTCTTCTTTTGGATACTGTGTTTTGCAAGAGAGGCATTGAGTGTCAATCATGTTTGGTCTATAGTCTACTTTCAGCATGCTTCTCCCATCCTGGGAGGGTCCTCACAACACCCTTTATTTGGTGCTCTCTTTTCTATCTGAGCTTCCTTTTCACCTAGCACGTGTGGCTGGCCTTCAAGTCATGGAGCAAAATTTCAGGACAACTTTTTAAAGAACTATGGGCAACATCTCGAAAGAGATCTCAAGTGGCAGAATTTCTTCTGGATCCAGCACAAAGCTGAGTCATCCCGAGGCAACCTGAAGGGGTCAGGTGAGCCCCTGTACATACCCAAACAGCCCTGGCAGCCAAAAACCTCCGCACTCTACAATCACCACCATGCTCCTGGTTGGACCTTCACCGTTTGAATGAGCCTCATTCAGAAATTAATCTGTTGAAACACTCAGGTATATGGGTTTTTGTGACTGAACTCTCCAGTTTCCAAGAGGGTCAAGGATGAGCTACCCCCCCCCCCATCTCCTCGTTCTTTGGGAGCTCGGCAGTCACATCCATGAAACACCGTTGGCACCATATCAGCTCTTTCACCTGCCATGATCCAGAGACTCAGATATAAATATTGAAATAAATCTATAAGGGGCAGAATTTCCAGATCCTGCACAAGGTTGATTCACCCTGGGGCAACCCAGAGGGGGGCTTGTGAGCCCCCTAAGTCCACCCAAATAGCCCCAGCAGCTGAAAACTTCCACATTCCACAATCACCACTATGCTCCTGACAGATGCCACTGCTTGGACGAGGCTCATCCAGAGATTAATTTGTTGGAAAACTCAGGTATGCAAATTTTGTGACTGAAATCTCCAGAGTTCACAGGGTCAGGGCTAGGATACCTCCCTCCATATCCCTGTACTTTAGGAAGGCTGGCAGTTCACACACACGCCCCAAAGTTGCCAGTCAGTTAAGAATTTAACTCCATACCTATCACCTTGTTAGAAATTCTGCACACCCTGGAGTGCATGGCCACAATTTCGGTCACATGACATCTCAAATTCTACAACACTGATAAACCAGGAGTAGCACACCAGATTGGATGGAATGTAAAATAAAAGGAAACCAATCTCAATTAACAAAGTATAAAAACAGAAGGATTAACCTGTAAAACCATTTTAGTAATCTCATACAAGGGCTGAAGGGCTCCATGGTGAGATCTTCACTACCTATATTCTAAGGAAATTTTTTTTATCATTCTTTTCAGCAAATTATTTATAACAAACAATGTAGCACTGTAACACTATCCTCCAATTGTTCATTGATTTGCTTGAGCGGGCACCGGTAACGTCTCCATTGTGAGACTTGTTACTGTCTCATGGCATATTGAATGCACTATGGCATATCGAATACGCCAGGGGGAGCTTGCCAGGCTCTACTGTGCGAGCAGATACTCTTGGTGGCTTGTAAGGCTCTCTGAGAGGGATGGAGGAATTGAATACAGGTTGATCGTATGCAAGGCAAACGCCCTACCCACAGTGTATTCCTCCAGCCCAACAAGCAAAGTAAAATTAATTATTGAGGGCCTGCTATGGGGGGAGGCTCAAGGGCGGTTGGGAAAATTGGAAATAATGGTAGTGGGAGGAAAGGTGCAATGGTGGGATCAGTGTTGGAATATTGAATGACTGTAACTAAACTAATAACTTAATAATGAAAAAAAAACTATGGACTCACAAATAAATCTCAGAAAAGAGCCACGAGCTGCAGAGGTGCCTCCAGACCCCATGCCAGGCTGACTCTCAGTCGGGGTGCCCTGGAGGGGGCAAGTGAGCCGATCACCCACCTCAACAGAGTCCCAGCAGTCAAAAACCTCCAGAACCCAATAGCCACCATGCTCACAGTCAATCTCCACACATTAGGAACAAGTCTCACGCACGAGAATGAATCTGCTTAAAAACCCAGGTATGCATGATTTGTGATTGAAATTGCCAGGCTCTCGTGGAGTTGGGATGAGTGAGCTCCCCCTCTCTCTGTGCTTCCACAAACTACCTCCAGTGCCATATAAGCTCATTAATGGCCATGACCCAGACTCATAAATAAATCTCAGAAGAGAGCTACAAACTGCAGAGATGCCTCCAGACCCCAAAGTTACCATACAATTAAAAATTTAACTCAAGCTTTATCACCCTGTTTAAAATTTTTGAATTCTGGAAAGACACCTCATTCTCTAAGCCACTGATGTACCAAAAGTAACACATCACATTTGATGAGGTGTAAAGAAGAAGGCAACCAATCTCAATCAAAAGAAAAAAATTAGCACACAAGGCTCAACCTGTAACAACATATTAGTAATTTCTTACACAAGAGCTTAATGTTTCCAGGGTGAGAAACAACAATCTTCACACACTTCGCTCTAACAAAACTTTTTTGGATCATTTTTTAGCAGATTATTCAAAACAAGCAATACAAAATAAATTATTTAGGATCTACCTTTAGGGCAGTCCGAGTGGTGGTGGGAAAATTCAAAATAATGGTAGTAGGAAGGTATAATGGTGGTGGGATTGGTGTTGGAATATTGAATGTAATAAATTATTGTGAACAACTCTATTAAAATTTTTTTAAAAAAAACTTAAAAAAGTGACCAGGGACTACACATATGTAGTCTTAGGAATATGTAGTACAGGACTTCACACAAGCTTGGCACATGCTGCTGTAGCGGAGCTAGTCCCCAAGCCTCCTTCCCACCCAGGACATTATTCTTTACAGATCCTTCAAATTGCTTCTCAACTCTTTCCCTACCTTAACTATATCGCATCCTTAATTTATTTCCCTTGTAAGAAAACTTTATAGGAAAATTCTTAAGATGTAATTCAATTAAAAAAGATTTCACTAATAACAATTTTATATTAAATTAATAATCAAATCTCTACTTGAAATTAAAACATAATATTACCACCAACCTGTTAAGTCAGAAACTATCGCTGGATTTTCCTCAAATTGTTTTGCTGGATGTCTTATAAAGTGGTGATTTAAAACTGACAATTTCTTCTTAGGATTCTGAGTTATCTAGAAAGAACATTGATACATTCTGTATTATTTTATATCCATTGTGATAGTTCAGCGAAACTTTGTTTCAAGTAAAAATGATAGGAACCAACAGTTACTCTCTCCAAGACACTCTTTTTAAGCATTTAATTTGTTACCAATTTAATCTACACATGAACTGAAAAAGATAGTGACCTTTCCTCCCCTTGCATCCCACAGACATGGGTTAGAATCCTGTCAATGCACAAGGTCCCTAGACCACTGCCAGAGGTCACTCCCCAACAAAAAGTCAGGAAAGCCCCTGAGTACTGCCAAGTGAGGTGCAAATTTCCCTACCACCACCAAAGTCAACAACAAATAAAATATTTAGTGCCAGGATTTAAGCCCACGCTATCTGACTTCAGAGCTCAGGCTTTGAATCATTATACAATAGTGCCTCAAGTAACAGTCAAGAATAAAACACGTAAAGATGTATAGACTCAGAAGGGAACTTAAGGATCTTAAGAATTAATTCTAATATACTAATTTACAAATCAAGTGCCAATCTTCTAATAAAGAATTAGTCAATAGAAAAAATATGAGTTGCCAACTGTTTCCTTGGGAACTCCTTCACTCTATCCTTCTTTTTGAATCAAAATATTCTTACTTTCATGAAATAAGCATAAAAGAAAACAACAGGTTTTGTGTTTGCTTTTAAATATCTTCGCATCATTATTGGATGTTGACAACTTTCTATAGCCCCCCCAAAAATGTATATATACTAAAGAGGTGGGTATAAAATCCATTTGCTATCACTAGTGAACTCTTCGATTTAAGTACTAAAGCCCTAAAAGTTATGTGATAATCTCAGCAAAAGTTCACCTGAAAGAATAAAAAAAAAACCCAGAGGCTGGAGCAATAGTACAACAGGTAGGGTGTTGGCCTTGCATGTGGCCGACCCGGGTTCAATCCCCGGCATCCCATATGGTCCCCCAAGCACCGCCAAGAGTAATTCCTGAGTGCAGAACCAGGAGTAACTCCTAAGCATTGGTGGGTGTGACCCCCTCCCAAAAAAATGACAGTCAGGATCAACGTATGCTGCTATTTTTTCCAATCCCGAAGGAAGTTCCCCAGCAAATGCATGAACATTTCTAACTTGCGCAGCCAGCGATAGCACAGCGGTAGGGCGTTTGCCTTGCACGCAGCCAACATGGCTGACCCGAGTTCGATTCCTCCACCCCTCTCGGAGAGCCCGGCAAGCTACCGAGAGTATCTCGCCTGCACGGCAGAGCCTGGCAAGCTCCCCGTGACGTATTTGATATGCCAAACACACTAACAACAAAGTCTCCAATGGAGACGTTACTGGGCCCGCTCGAACAAATCAATGAACAACGGGAGGGCCTTTACTTTGGGCTGGAGCGATAGCACAGCGGGTAGGGCGTTCGCCTTACAAGCGGCCAACATGGCCGACCCGAGTTCGATTCCTCCGCCCCTCTCGGAGAGCCCGGCAAGCTACCGAGAGTATTCGATATGCCAGACACAGTAACAACAAAGTCTCCAATGGAGACGTTACTGGGCCCGCTCGAGCAAATCGACGATCAACGGGAGGGCCTTTACCTTTACCTTTACCCACAAGATAATTAGTTCTAATTTTAATAATAATTTTCTCTATTTTAAGCAAATATATGACTCCCTAATTCTCTTATATATCAGTGTGGAGAACAGTTTTTCAAAAATAGTAACTAGTGGAGCTTGGAAGATAGCTTAGGGGTCAGGAGTATATATATATGCCTTGCATACACAGAGCAGAGTTTGATCTCCAGCATCACATGGACCCAGTGACCACTGCTGGAGTAATTGGCTATCTCCAGCATTGCTGAACCCTTATCTCTGGGCTCTACCACTGAACTATCTGGCTGGGTGGGCTGAGTAACTTCAGTATGAGTGGGTCACAGGCATTCTGAATACTACTCAGGCATGTTTCCCTTCCATAAAAGAAGACTTTTTATCTGCCACTCAAGTGAAATATTTTCCTACTTCAAATATATCAGTTATGTTTTTCATAGAGCTTTTTCAGAAAAAAAAAAAAGAAAACTTTTTTCAAGTGCGTCACCATCTTAACTACTTCCCTGGTAAATTCTCAGGATATTGTTTAACTAGAGAAGAAGAGAGTAAAACTTTATTTTCACTGATGCTAATTCACAACATGCACAACAAGCACCTTTCCCACTTATACAATCTTTTTGACCTATTTGTGTCAATATTTTTAAAGCAGCTACAACTATTTTCACTAGAATCCACAGGTTGTTCTAAAATTTCAATTAAGATTGGGCCTCCCAAGCTTACTTACCCTATGGTTTATTCACTTCCAGGCTTATTCATCTGCTCACAAATTTCCAGTTCTTTCATGTTAATGATCATCATAAATTATTTTCTCTCTCTCTTTTGCTGGGGGAATAAACCCAGCACCTAACAAATGCAAGAAGTGTTCTACCCCTGAGCTAATTCTCAATCTGTTCTATGAATATTGATTCTCTGAACTACATTTTGAAAGAATAACTATGCTTTGAGTAATAGTTTTCTACTATATATGTTCTGTTTTGCATCCTAGACTACATGCTTCTGTAGGGGTTGGAATTATATCCTAGCTTTTTATTATCTAACATTAAATGTATATTATACATAGTGAATTTGTATAATTTGTATAAGAGCTGTTTGATATTTCTATTCTTAGTGGTATGTTATAAAAAATCCTTAAAATATGCCTGCAAAATACATATACATTCCAAATTATAATTTCTTATATTCTGTTTAAGAGCTTCTCATTTTTACTAGAATATAGTGAAACATGTTCATTGATTTAAAGAAAGCCTTTGATTCTGTTGAGACTGAAGTGGTCATCGAAGCCCTAGCCAAACAGAGTGTTCAAACTCAATACATCAGGACCCTCAATGAGCTGTATTATGGATTAACTATCAGGATCTCACCATTCTACAGGAAGTGATCATCGACATAAAGAGAGAGGTTCAGCAGGGCGATACCATATCACCGAAACTTTTCAGTGCCACACTCAAGAAAATCATGAGACGACTGGGATGGGAAGGAATGGGAGTGAAGATAGACGGTCGGCAACTACACCACCTCTGCTTCACTGATGACACTGTTCTAATAACACCAAACATTAGCCACGTGGCACAAATGTTGGCAGGCTTCAACTGTGAGTGTGTAAAGATTGAACTGCAGCTGAATCTCACAAAGATAATGTTCATGAAAAACGGACTCATTCCTGACTTTCTATTTGCTCTCAACATAATTAACATCTCCGAATGCAACAGTTATGTGTACCTAGGTCGAGAACTCTACATGACGAATGACCTGGCAGCTGAGCTGCACAGGAGGAAGAGAGAGGTGTGGAATGCCTTCAAGAGTGTCAAAGAAATAGCTAAGAGGATGAAGAACCTCTGGCTCCGAGCACATCTCTTTAGCTCCACCGTTCTTCCAGCATTAACATACGCCTCAGAGACCTGGGCCCTATGAAAACAGGATGAGAATGCTATTCGGGTCTCCCAAAGAGGAATCGAAAGACCTATGTTTGGAGTATCACACTTCACTCAAGTGAGAGAAGGAATCTGGAGTTCCGACCTCTGTCTATGATCAAGAATCACGGATGCTGTCTCATTTGCCAAGGCATCAAAAATCAGATGGGCTGGACACATAATGCGATTTGAAGACAACTGCTGGACTAGAGCTGTTACTGACTGGATTCCACATGATGTCAAAAGAACATGTGGCTGCCCACCTACAAGATGGTCAGACTTCTTCGTCAAGACCCTGAACAAACGTTTTGAGGCTCTTCGTTGTTCCTGGAGCAAGCAGACGCCATTGGGCTACACTAGCACACGACAGGGACAAATGGAGACATTACTGGTGCTTGCTCGAGCAAACTGATGAGTAACGGGATGTCAAGTGATCAAGTGATAGTGAAAAACACGATTTGAGATACTAAGATTTATGAAACATTTCCTTCTAGGAACCACTATTTTGTTCTTATACTCTAAAACTTTATTTGAAATACTTTAGTTCTACATTGGAACAGTTTTATCCTAAATCTACCGAATGTCATTTCAAATACAAACTAGTCCTGTACCTTTAATTGATTCGATTATTGTATTTCATTGCACTTATACTGACTTGAACATATAAACCAAAAAATTATTTTTTCCATAGTTAAGACACACAAAATAATATTGATAAACTAGAATATGTATGTGTTCTAAGACAAATTCATACTATCATCTCTAAAAGCTGGTTTAAATATACTATATTTAATATATTATATCTGTGTTTAATAAATAAACATGGTACCCTGTGGTTTAAAATGTGGTAAAGTACAGTAAGATTTGGTTCTTTAATTATGTTCTCAGGAGAGAGTGTATTTATGACTCCAATAATAATGTACTAAGTGATTAGGCAACTTTCTGAAGAATTCGAAGAAAAAAAATAGAAACTACCTTAAGAATATGCTACAGGAGCAAGGATCTAAGCTATACTTATAAGGAAAGCATTACCTAGAGATCTAGTGATAAGGAGACCACACATCCACACATAATGCTTTGTCCACTTTTGATAATTCATTGATGCAATGGATATGAGTGTGAAAGGAAACAGTCTACCATCCAGTCACTCAAAGATTTCATAAGAAAGAATATCTGATACTTTACCACAATGTGAAAGAATACTGAGCACACAAGAAACTTTTTCTCCAAAAGGAAAATCTAGAACCATAGTTCTCTGAAAGTATTTCTATAAAACAGTGATACAATACAAAATAAACTAAGGTGAAAGGCTGTTTGTTAGGTATAATGCCAATCTGTTCCCATTATACAGGAAAAATAGAAAAGTAAATGAACAGAATTCTCTAAATTTTGCATAAATGCTTGGTGCCCACTATCTTGTCACAGGCAAGAAAGTGAAGGAAGAGTATCATAATATTCTCCAGGACACCTCAATTTCTAGGAGATGTGCTAGTTAAACGACTCAGAAACTCTAGTTGTAAAGTTTCATTGCAGCAAAGGTTTATCTTTTATAAGTAAACAGTTCAAGTTCTGGAGAGCTTGGCTTGGTCAATGAATATAGCTATTTAGATCCTATCAAAAAAATAAAGATGCTACACATTTTTAATATAAAAAGATATATCATGATGTCAACAGTGCATTTCTAAGAAAAAGCATTGTAAAATAGCTTGTGGTAACTAATTTCCTTTCATTAAGTCAGAATAACATGTCAAATTTTTAAAAAGGAAAGAACTGGCAGGTAAACTGTTTCCTTTCACACTCATTTCCATTGCATCTATGAATTATCAATAAAATAAAGATATTTGCATACTGAAACCAATTACAGTTGGTACATGTAGGCTTTTGTTTTCATCAAAAATTTTAAAAGTGCATTAAATATATTATTTCTGCAACAAAATATTTAAATTTACTGAAATAAATACATTTAAAAATACATACTTGTTTAGTATCAGCATCAATAAGATCAAAGAATGCTCGAACTGTAGTCAACTGCAATTGCTTACACCTAAGAGTAAAATAAGCACAACATGAAACTTTCTTTAAAAATCTATTTTTGATAAAAACATAGAATTATTATTTTGTTTTACTGAATGTTGGTTCATAGCATTATATAGATTTTAGGTATATAGTTTATAAATCAATTCTTTATATACTACATTATATTTTTTACCACCTAAAAGTTACCACCCATGATCATATAGATGATAGCTTCTAGATGATAGATTCACCTACTCCATTCCCTGATAAACAGTTTTGTTCTTATACTTTAAAAGACTGTTTTTGCTCAGTTTTGTTCTTTTCCTTATCTAGAAAACTCTGTCATTTAGTGAAGTTAAGTGTTCTTTTATATTTTACACTAAGATTATTTAACAAATTGTTATTACTATGCCCATTATCTTATGATTGAGATATATAAGAATAAAGCAAATTAAATCTTCCTGAGTGCTTGAGAGTGAAACTATCAGGTCTCTTCTTTTTCATTTAACAAATTCTGTGGGTCATCGATGCAGGGATAGTACAGTGGGTAGGGTGCTTGCCTTGTACATGGCAACCTAGTTTTGATATCTCTCGTTTCCCACATAGTCTCATGCACATTGCCAGGAGTGATTCCTAGTACAGAGGCAGGAGTAATCCCTGAGCACTATCAGGTATGGTCACTCGAAAAAAATTGGGGGACCTAGAATTATAGTACAGGCGGAAAGCACTATCTTGCGTGTGGTCAACTCTGGCTTGATCCCCTGCAACACATATGGTTGCTGGAGCACAACCTGAAGTGACCCCTGAGCACAGAGCCGTGAGTAAGCTCTCAATACCACCAGATGTGAGCTGGAAAAAAATATTTCCTTTTTATACTCTTTTTCATATATGCTACTACTTAGAATAGTCAATGCTATACTAATTAAGTCCCTGAGATTGATGATTGGCTAAAGCTTAAAAGTCCTTCCAAAAGGGCATTTGATTCTGCCTGAGAACCCTCCCATCCCCCCAAAAAAGGACAGTTTATGCCCCAGTTTCATTCTGAGACTAATAATGCTAGGGGTTCATTGGGAGAGAAATTTTGGCTATCAAAGGGGAACCTTGGTCAACTCAGATAAGAAGGTTACAGTTCTAAGTTAATATTTTACCCAAATCCTTATTTACTCATGGGTAAAAACTTTTAAAAAGATAACTAATCAATGCATTAAAACTTTAACAAACTAATCAATGCATTAGGAAAGATTACCAAAATTTTTAAAAAATAGGTCATATTTACTTACCATACAATGGAGAGATGGTCTGTTGAGACCCAGGTCTTAGGCACAGCTGAGCTCTAAAAGAAAAACAATAAAACTTAAAAACACATTTGCTATTCTCTAAATGGTCTAAAATTCTTAAAATTAGTATTTAAGAATTATGCAACATCAGCTTCACTATTTTATATCCATGAATTTAAAGTTATAAAATCTCATATAAAAGGTTATCCAAGGACATTAAATGATTTCTTTCATAAATTATCTCTAATTGTTAGTATTGCTTACTCAGGCTTAAATTTTCCTTTAAAAATCATTAAGGCAGAGATCAAAGCAAAAGTAGGAAATTTGCCTCACATGTGGCTGACCAAGGTTTAATTCCTCATATCCCATATGGTCATCAAGGACCGCCGGACATAATTCCTGAGTGCAAAGTCAGAAGTAACCCCTGAACATCACTGGGTGTAGTCCAAAACAAACAAAAAAACCACCAAAACATTTAAAACATTCAAAGATCCAAAGATTCCTTACAAAATTTAATGTATAATTTTTACTATAATAAAATATTTTAAGATTCTTTAATAAATAATATTTTACATATGAGTTGGACTGGAGCAATAGCACAGCAGGTAGAGCCTTTGCCTTGAATGCAGCCGATCCAGTCTACCTGAGTTCAATTCTTCCACCTTCAATTCCTCCGCCCCTCTCGTAGTGCCCGGCAAGCTACCGAGGGTATCTCACCCGCACAGCAAAGCCTGGCAACCTACCTGTGACGTATTCGATATGCCAAAAACAGTAACAACAAGTTCCATAATGTTACTGGGCCCGCTCGAGCAAATCGATGAACAATGGGAGGACAGTGACAGTGACATATAAGTTAAAATAACTATTTTAGTATTTCAGTTCTGATTACATTGCTAAATACCACAGTCTAAGGTATTCTTATTCAACGTTTACCTGAAAAATATCCATGCTTACAGAGGTCTTTTCATAATTTTTTTTTCTGGTTGTGGGTCATGTCTACCTATACTCAATGTTGACTCATGAGCTCTGTGCTCAGTTATTACTCCTGATGGTACTTGGAGACCACCTGTGGTGCTGGGGATAGAACTGAGGCCAACCTTGTGGAAGGCATATGCCTAATAGCCCAGTACAATCTCTCCAGCCCATCTTTCTTTCTTTCTTTCTTTCTTTCTTTCTTTCTTTCTTTCTTTCTTTCTTTCTTTCTTTCCTATTTTTTTTTGCTTTCATGTGGGAGATATTTTAAAATAAGTATGCCTCATAACATTTTAAAACTACGAACTCAGATTCTTTTTACAAGTGAGGGATAGTCTTAGTTATTCTGACAAAAATTCCCTAGATGATTAGGACATACATGCAGGATAGAGATATAAAGTGATACCAAATAATATAACTGCTTGCAGGAGACAACCTAAATAGGGTATTGCACACTCCAAGAACTAAAAACTCCTTTTCATACCAGTAATTACCTCCCTATGGACAGCATCATACACACAAGGGGTAACATTAAGTAAATCTGACATTCTTGTATTTTTTTCTTCCTGTGCCCTCAAAGATACAATAAGCTGCTCCTGCCAGAACCTAGTGGTGCTGAGAGTCACCAGAACCATCCTATAGCGCTTGGGGTAAGGAGAAATGCAGTAATAGGGATCAAACTCTGGGTCTTACACATGCAAGGTTTATACTCCTGGTTTGAGTTACCTCGCAGGTCCCACTCCTGTAAGCTAAATAACTCTATGTTCTCAGGTACTTACATTCTTCAAATAATATTATATATTTGAGTTTCAGTTTCTAAACTGGGAATAATCCAGAGTTAATTCTGTTGAACTTACAAAGATTAGATGTCATGCTTAGGAATCAATGTTAACAGTTTAATTAAAAATTGAGAGTTGGGGCTGGAGTGATAGCACAGCGGGTAGGTAGGGTGTTTGCCTTGCACATGGCCGACCCAGGTTCGAGTCCCAATATCCCATATGGTCCACCAGGCACTGCCAGGAGTAATTCCTGAGTGCATGAGCAAGAAGTAACTCCTCTGCAATGCAGGGTGTGACTCAAAAAGAAAAAAAAATAGAGTTCACTGTGAATCCACATTAGAGGCTCAAACAAGTAACTGTAGATAGCATATACCATTATTAAAAACATAAAATAATTTACTTTGACTCAGCCCAATGGACACGTCAATGATGAAAAGAGGGAAAAGCAACACAAATAATAAAAACAGTCATTCATGATCTTTGTGGTGCTACTGCTGACTGTCCATCAAAACCAATTCTTTACATTTCGCACATCTCTTTACATCTTATGCCCTCTTACTTTAAGGTAAAATTAAGTTTTATGTAATATATGAGAACAGAAGTGATGCTAGCCATTTCTAGGCCTGACTCATCTTTATGCTCATTCCCTTTCCTGTGGATTGTATGAGTAATACTTATAACCCTGGAAGTAAAGCATTCACGAAGTGGAGTTACTTACTCTCAATCTTGACTCTGTTAATGGCACCCTTCAATATTTTAATTCCAACATGTATAAATATAATTTATCAGTTCTTACGATAATCATTTTTAAAAATTTGCTACTTATTGGGGCCAGGGATATATCTCAGTGGTAGTGCACATACCTTGCTTGTTATGAAATCCTTAATTCAATCCCTGATAACCCAGCTGCCTTCTCCCTCAGTTCATGATAACCCTAGGTTAATTTTTGATAGGGGAGTGGAGTGACAGTTGAGCCATACCTGGCTGTGCTCAGGGTCTGCTTCTGGCTTTGTGCTCAGGGATCACTACTGGTAGTGGCTGGGAGGACCAGGGATTGAAATGGAATCTTCAATGTGCAAGACGTCTTAATGTCTTGCTCTGGTCCCAATTCTTGAAATGTTTCCAACAGTGAAAATAAATGCAGATATATTAAAGATACATGTGAAGTAGCACTATAGCACTGTACTCCCATTGTTCATCGATTTGCTCGAGCGGGCCCAGTAACGTCTCCATTGTGAGACTCACTGCTACTGTGTTTGGCATATCGAATACGACACGAGTAGCTTGCCAGGCTTTGCCGTGCGGGCGAGATACTCTAGGTAGCTTGCCAAGCTCTCTGAGAGGGGCAGAGGAATCACAGAGGAATTGAACCTGGCTCAGCCTGAAGAATAATCTATAAAAAATAGTTTTGAGAAAATTCCCTAAGAAGTAAAATATCTTATTTAGCGATATGAAAATACAAATCCCACTCTGTTTTACTTTCAAGGGACATAAATTGATAAGGCAGGTCTCTGCCTTATCAATATTCTCTCTTCTTTCTTTCTTTTCTTCTATTTCTCCATCTCCTTCCTTTCTCCCTTCTGTCCTTACTCTTTCATCATATCTTTCATCATATTCTCTCTCTCTCTCTCTCTCTCTCTCTCTCTCTCTCTCACTCACACACACACATACACACAAACACACACATATAGGACATGTACCAATACTATAACTCTAATATTAGTCATTTCTAAACAACTACATTATCTCTTTTCATATGCAACTGCATTCACCAGTTATTATATCAATAGAATCTTTAAAAAGATTACCACAACAGATAAGGCACTGGTGTGATGGCTTAATTTTGGTAGAAAAGTCAGTCCCGAGCGAACTTGGTAATCCCGAAATCCTCCAGCTACAGAAAGTGTGGTTAAATTTATTTGTCTAGCATTTAGAATCCAAAAGTTGTTTACAGTCAGATAAAAATCTGGTAGGAAATAAAAACAAACACATTTTAAAATGAGCAATTATTCCCTGCAACATTTAAATTATCTCTCTCTAAATTTCTATTTAAGAGATATGAATTGTCCACAAAAATTGTTTTCCAGTTTTCTCCATTTTGAATTTAAAAAGTAACTTTACACATATTCTAAATAGGAGTACAAACACTAAGCTTACTAAAGGGAATGGGGTTAGGGGTTTTTTTATTCTTGCTCTATTGGTAATAAGTAGTATCTTTGTAGAATGTAGAGACTTCTTTGCATATGGGCTTGTAAAAGCCAATAAAAAATGTGTACAATTTTTCTTTTTTTTATTGAATCACAGTGAGATAGTTACAAAGCTTTCATATTTGAGTTTCAGTCATACAATGACTGAACACCCATCCCTCCACCAGTGTACGTTTTCCACCTCCAATGTCCCCAGCCATCATCACCCCCGTCCCAACCCTCCCCCTGCCTCCATGGCAGACAATTTCCTCCATACTCTCTCTCTACTTTTGGGCATTATGGTTTGCAATATAGATACTGAGAGGCTATCAAGTTTGGTCCTTTATCTACTTTGAGCATACATCTCCCATCCCAAATGATCCCTTCAACCATCATTGACTTAGTGATCCCTTCTCCGTCCCAAATGCCTTCTCCCCCAGCTCATAAGGCGGGCTTCCAACTATGGAGCAATAATCCTGGCCCTTGTCTCTACTGTGTGTATCATTTTTCTTTATTGATGCCCTTGTTACGTGTTTTCTATGCTAAGTGTCCTAAAGTGCACGAAGCCCTTATGAGGAGAGCTATCTATAACTCTCTACTGCAGATATCCACACAATAAGAACACTTTAAGTTCTTAATTGTAATCAGGATAATGACATTCACTTTGGCCTTAAGGACACACTGCAGAGGAAAATCCAAGGGTAAATTTTTACCCATTTAATACAACAAGTATTTCAACGATTCTGCAAAAATTTTCTGCTTGATTCATAAGTGGATTGAAAGATAAGAAATTGCCAGTGTCAGATATCTGAGGCCAGTGCAGAAAAGTGTGGACTCTTTCCTGATTACCAGAATTTATCTATTTTTACCCTAACATGTGATCTCACTGAGGGCTTCAAACATTTTAGAACAGCAAAATCCTTCCATCAAAGATCTCAGGATATATACTTAAGATTGCAATCGAGAAACCCACTCATAATAAAAGTATCAAAGGATATGCATGGGTATATAAACATGCCCATGTGTATAAACGTTTTAAAATTAAAATATGAATACATTGTTAAGTCAAATATATTTTCTCTATGCCTCTTGACAAAGGCATATTTATTACAGGTTACTGAAATGACTTGGAAGACCATGGTCGAATCAAAATTTTGAAGACATCTAACTTAGGCATTAGATTATGGCAACAGCAGATCTCTAGCCCACTGCTGTACTATCTTCCTTCTTGCTCTAATTCTATCCTGTATCACAGTGGCTTCATGAATATCATTTTAATTCTGAAATTCATACAGAGCCATACTTTCTTCATCACAATCCAAGTTTATGGTTGTAACAGACAGATCCTCATGACAGTTCTTCTTGGGAGGTTCACTTTGTCTAGAAATGGGCTTATGACATAGGGTTAATAAAAGCCGGGGGTATAGTTACCTGAATCATGTTCTAGAAGTAAATACATAGCCTACAAGAGGAAAGCTGACAGGCCTAAATACTCCTCAACCCTTAGTAAATGGTAGCAAGTCCTCTCAAGAGTAGTGCTTTCTTTTGTCTATGTAACATCAGTATTTCTTCCAAGTCAAAACAATCTCTTTATGGAAGTCATATGAATGTGTCTCCCAAACACAGATAATCTACTACTACTCTTCAAAACTTTGTTTTTTTCATTCTAATTCTGGTTTAATACAATCGAGAAAAAGTAAAAGAAAAACATAAAAAGGCTTCTAATCACAGGAAAGGCAACTTGATCCTAATACTATTTGCACATTGTGTTTTTAGGGATAGCCCATCACAATTATTCTAAACAATAAAAGGGACTGACTCTTTTGACTATTCTTTAAAGTTTGAAATTGTTTAGCAATTCTAATTAATCTACAAAATTTATTTACATGTATCATATAAAATAAAGTGTTTTCAGTTGTAATAACTACAATGACTTGTTTATACCCTTTGTTCTTTCTAAATCTATAGTTCATTTATAACTATTAGAATTAGTAGAACAAATTTAATCTGAAATAATAAAATTAAAGTGTTTCACTGAAATATTTCTACAGACAAAATTTTTTTGTTTCTGTTTTGGCAATATTACATGAAGATGACTAATGTGAGAAACTACCCTGAATAGGAGTTACAAAGGTGCATTTTTCACTTAACTATAAACAAAAACTTTATCACAGTTAAGATATGCAAATTTTTGTACAGAAAGAAAATGTATACATTTATCGACTAGAAAAAAGAATTATTTCTAAAGATATTCTTCTATTCATAAAACATTCCAGAAAACACTGAAACTAATACTAGACTTTCCTTAATAAAGTTTAGAGAGCAGGTACTTAATTCCATAACATTATCACTACTTGATTAGATGACCAGCAATAATAAACTCCACAGTGTCCATTCAAAATTACTTGAAACATCACAGTCTTATCAATAATTTATTTTTTCATTCATATTAAAGTACCTCAATTAGCGGCATATATCAAGCAAGAAAGGCTAAGAGCACAGGCTCTGGAAAATATTTGCTAGAGTCAAATACTGGCTCCACCATTTTCCTACTAAATGCTTCCATACAGTAACAGTCTCTTTGCCTCTTTTTTAATATTCATAATTAAAGGTATGGTAATATGAACCTTCCTCAAAGGACTGTTTTAAGGATGAAATAAGATAGCACAATAATCAATCATAGTAAGAGCTCAATGAGTACTAGAGCTAGCTCTACCTCACCATATAAAGCTAGCATTTAAATGTAAGACATTTCTGCTATTTTAAAACTATTCATATATTGAATCGGGTAATGGAAGAGTAAACAAAACATAGGAAGTTTAAACACACACTGAGAGACAGGGAATCACTTTTACATAAAATCTAAACTGATCCCCAAGTGCTTAGGGATTAAAAGAGTCAGATCATCCACAATAGGTTACTATGGACAAAGAAAACACCACTTTAATTATGAGCCTAAGATGAAGGTCACAAAGAGAGATGTACAGGGGGCTAGAGGGACAGTACAACAGGCAGGGCCATGGATTTACACATGGCCAAACCAGGTTCAAACTCCGCATCCCACATGGTCCCTCAGGGACCACCAGAAGTAATTCCAGAGCACAGAGCCAGGAGTAACCACTGAACATAGCCAGATGTGGCTCAAAACCCAACAAACAAAAACTAAAGAGAGATGCTCAGAATTGGAAGTACTGGTTCGAACCTGATATGCTTCATATACAGATAAATCTGTAGCATATTCTAAAGGGAGCAGTTGTAAAAATTTGTTCAATACTAAATTACAACGAGGCCAGTTAGTACTTACGTAAACAGTACTCACCTGTGATATAGCGGTCTAATGGCATCACGGGGGCAACATGAGGTGTTGCTTGTGTAATAAGAAGATTTATCAGATCTTGTTTAAAATTTTTCACCGTAAGCAATGCTCTTGCAACAAGGCCACCCATAGAATGACCAATTATCGTCACACTTTTGGGAGCAAATTCGTGACCCTATTTAAGGCATAATTAAGGGTTAGAAGCATAGCGAAATACAATATACTTCAATCAACAAACAATTTTAGGAAATTTTAGAAAAAAAAGTTACAGTACATATTTAACCTCTCATCATGAGATACAGAAATTCATTTATACTCGCAATTCATATCCCATTATCTGTTCTGCCAAACATTTAACAGTTATCTTTTGGTCTTTATGAACCCAAATCAGAATACCTGGTCTAGCAAATCATGTTTTTACCAATTATAATACTGAATAGAATATATAATTATACTTGATGTAAACTATATTGCTATATCATAAGAAATCAGACCATTTATTTGAAATTGGAAATATCACCAAGTCAAAATGATTTTCTGGTTGCTGCAATAATGAGCTGGAGCGATAGCACAGGGGGTAGGGCATCTGCCTTGCACACAGCCAACCCAGGTTTGATTCCTCTGCCCCTCTTGGAGAGCCCGGCAAGCTCCGGAGAGTATTTCACTTGCAGGGCAAAGCCTGGCAAGCTCCCCGTTGCGTATTCAATATGCCAAAAAGAGTAACAACAAGTCTCACAATGGAGACATTACTTGTGCCCACTCGAACAAATCCATGAACAACGGGAGGACAGTGCTAACAGTGCTGCAATAATATACTACTTCATAAAACGGAAACATCTATCAAATTATTTTTCTACTATGTACCTGGGTTCAAAAAGAAAATAACATCACATAATATTATTTCACCAGCAATTACATATTTCAATTTTTGAATATTGCTTTAAAGAAACTTTTGTCCTCTCAGTTCCACTACAAGACTTCTACTCATCAGCCTCTACAGTGATCCTTCATCTATGCTTTGGATTTTGTGCAGAGTGAATGCTGTGTTCCAATGTGCCTGGAGAATGCTATTACCTACTCTGGGAAACACTGCTCTCAAGATCAAAAACTGCTGATACACTATCAACCCTCAAGGTTTTATCTCCAAACTGGTCCTTTCTCTTAAATTCTAAATTCCAATTGAATACTAGATATAATTAGAATAAATAGTGTAAATATAAAATTGATCTTATATAAAAATTATTAATTACCTCTAAATCTGTCCTTTCTACATAGGGCAATTGTTTATTTGGGTTTTGTTTTTTTTGGTTGTGCCTTTGTTTGTCTTGTAGTCACTGTGAAACTACAAAGTTATTCATGAATGAGTTTCAAGAACACAATGTTTTGACACTTAATCTCTTCACCAGTATCCACATCGGTCCACCAACAGTCCCACCCCACCTCTGTTTGCCTCCTCTCTACCAATATGCCTCTGTGTGTTTGTGTGTGTATGTTTGTGTGTGTGTACTGTGCTGTACAGTAGTTGCTAACAGGGTTTCATACTTAACACTTTACCACCTGCCCAAGGTGTGTCCTGTTGGAGGTAGAAAGCATCATTGGCCTATCCCCTGCATATAGGAACATTCAGGGCAAGACAGGAAAAAATATGAAGATCAAATCAGACTTAAGTCAGAAAAACTCAAAGTTGGTGATAGGTCCTCTCACTAGTTTTATTGTGACTTCACACTGCTTGATGACTCAGGTCTTAGTCCCTTTAAAGCCCTGTATTGGAGGGCTTCATTCACACTGACCTATCACCCGATTGAGTATGCCTCACTACAAAGGCATACACTCGCCCTCAGCTTAGGTTCTAAGAGAGTTAGGTTAACTTCCTGCGTCTTTGGAACTTTATGCTCCGGTGCTCTACTGGTCAAAGTATATCAAAGTGGACAACATTCATCAGAATTACAAACCCAAGGAAAGAGTCCCTTTCCATTCCTTCTTTCTACCCAACAACTGTCAAGATTCCTGAAATTCTGAGCTGGTATCTTCACCTTCTGTTTAAAAAAGTGTGTAGATATTTTCTCAACACAGGATGAAGACACTAACTCTGACACTGACCATGGGACAGAGTATACCAATTCCAGCATATGAAAAGCCTAAAGCCTCCCGTTAAATATGAGCAAAGACCAAAACCTTTTCCTTACTTTTCCTCCTAGTCATCTTCTTCTAACTTATAAGTACATGAACTGTGGGATTAAAATTTGAATTTGTGCTGTTAATCAAATTGCAAAGTCCATCCTTGCTTTCTATCTACTTCTACTCACATGTAAGGGACCCCTTTCTTAATGGAGTAAATGAGCATCCTTCACTATACCTCCTGGTTAATCATCCCCTTCCTTATTCTTATTCTTCCTAGTATTTCTAAACAACCCTATTTACCAGACAGCTCCAAGATCACTTCACAGTTTTCATACCAATTTCGCCTGCCAATGTGTAGACTCCACCTCACAAAGCTATGAACTGATTTATCCTACAAGCGTCAGGGAATGTGATTTCCCAGTGATGCACTTGCATCACACTATGGGTAGAAGATCGTACTCCTCACCCCCAGTTCAGCCCAAACTTTCCCGTCTCATAATGGAACTACTAGCCTCCTTTGATGAAGTGAATCTTGAATCTTTTCTTACACGTGGATCTGCTGCTCTTCTGTACTCCTTAAAACTCAGATTCCCATTTGCATCTCATCCACATGGAATGATGAAGCCCCTGTAGGAAGCTAGACTATATTAGTTATATAATTTAACCTTCATCATTCAAAACATTCTCCCTGGTGACAGACCATTTTCACACAAAATGGAGTATGAGTCAGGTATGGTAGGTAAATCTAAAATCCCTGGGCAAACAGCATCAAAATCTGCCCCTTGAAGCCCCCAAACAATACCCTCTTCCCACCAGCACTCTATTGTCAGGCTCCTCATGATTCTGAGAGGGAAGGCCAATACAACAAAGCTTACTTGACACTTCTGCAAGTGTAACACTCAGTTGCGTCACAAAACCAGTCCTTATTTTTGGATATAGCAAGACCCATGATCTTTTGGAAAACACCCTCAAAATTACAGTCAGATCATATATCCATACTTGGCTCCACTGAAAGCAGCCACATTAGCCACGCAGTATTTTATCTATGATGCCACTAAGGCAATAACTAAATAGTGAAACTTCCAACCTCAGCCTATCTGCCACAGAGGACGTCTATTTTTAATCTTAGGCCTCAGATTAAAGTCCTGTCTCCCAGTCAAGCAGAATGAAACAGGCATCATTGGGTATCTTTTTCCCAATATAAAGACTGTGTCCCCAGACATCCCCCTCCCTTTTCCTTTACCAGGGTACTTAACACCTTATCCTCAAAAGACAAAACATTTCCCGTATTCATCCTCTTTCTGGTGACTCTGGGCATACTAGCCAGAACAGCCACAAAAGTAGGAGAAATCGTATCTTCTATTACCACAACTATTATGTCTTTTTTGAACCTGTATAGACAACTGATAATACTATTGATTCTCTTCGGGCACTGCAAACACAAGTTAAGGCCTGCTGCAGTTGTTTTACAGAACTGTAGAGCTTTTTATGCCTACTGCTGCCAAGAAAGCACTTACCTGCCTGATGTAATAGCAAGAATGGTTCTTTCGGATAATCAATTTGGACAATTCAAGACAGTATAACTAAACAGAACTAATCAAGCTTCCCAACTGTGAGACAAGGTCACCCAGAGTTGGTTTGCCTGAAAACTTAATTGGAATCATCTTTCCTGGCTACTGTCTATCTCAGAATCTATAATGCTAATAGTTCTTACCTTAAGCATTTGCTTCTGAAGCTTGTAACCAAATTTATTTCTTGAGAATCTAAGAGTTCTAAAGGATTCAAATTCTTAACTACTTTGCCAACTGCTTTCTTCTGAACTGCCAACTAGTTCATGCCACACACACCTGATTAATATACCAAGGAACCAACCTATCAAGAGGATTGGTTGGAGTCGTCATTATTTACATAGGACATAGTTTGTCACAGATGGCAAAGAGCTAAAGGGCAGAGAAGACAGCAATGCATATAAGCTAAGAACTGTGTATGAAAGTGCTGATTCCATTAGGTAGTATGGAATGTATGGAAAATTTGGAAAATATGTTTCCCTGAGACTCAGTCTGCCTCCCCAGGCTTTTAGGATCTGGGAGAAATAAAGAGCTGTAACAGTTAGAAGACAACCTGGTGACTGGGCTGGAGCGATGGCACAGCGGGTAGGGTGTTTGCCTTGCATGCAGCCAACCCGGGTTTGAGTCCCAGCATCCCATATGGTCCCCTGAGCACCGCCAGGAGTAATTCCTGAGTGCAGAGCCAGGAGTAACCCTTGTGCATCGCCGGGTGTGACCCCCCCCCAAAAAAAGACACCTGGTGATCAGTGTGTTATTCTTACTCCCTGTCAGGAACCTGAAGCTAGTTAAATTCAATGCAACAATAATATTTATACATTATGAATTTTATTGGGGGGTTGTTGGAGACTAGAATAGCAGATAGGATATTTGTTTATTTATTAGTGAAACACCATGAGGTACAGTTGTAGACTTGGGATTCAGTTATACAATGATCGAGTACTCCACCAGTACCCATTCGCAGATAGGATATTTGCCTTGCAAATGGCCAATCCAGGTTCTATCCCTGTCATCTCATATGGTGCTTGAGCACTGCCAGGAGTAACCCCTGAGCATCGCCAGTTGTGACCCCAAAACAAAACAAAACAAAATTTTTTAAGGTACTTTAAATGTATTTTAGAATTTCATTTTTATTTGGTCAGCAATTTTTAAAAAATATTATATGTCCTGTGATGTCACTAATTTCACTTATGAATTCTAAAATTCTTTAAAAGTTTTTGGGTATTTATGTCATTTGTGAACAGAGGTAGTTTTAATTCTTTCTTTTCAATTTTTATTAATTTTATTTCTTCTTCTGGCCCACTGTACTAGCTAGGATCTTTGATTCTATTTTTTTAATAGGGATTATGGGAGCACACAGAAACTGAAAAAATAAAGAGAATACCTGTATACATTAAAGTTATTAACAATTGACTGTAAATAACATCTTGAATGACAACATGCATATGGAGAGTGGTCTCAGAATGATTGTGGCTGGTTCTGGAGGTCT